CGGCGTCCGGTGAACCTACCGACCGCTGATACCGGCGTGTCGTTTGAGACCGATGACGGTGAAAAAGTGACGGTGAGACCGGTGGTCCACCGTCACTGTTGCATGCCTAGTCTCTTCTGCATAACTCACAGCATGAATTCTTTTTTTGCTTTTCAATAGAAAGCAAAATAATGATATTTAGCGTCGCGAACGTCTAAAAATATTACTACTACATATTACTTATGACGTATTATTTCTTTTCCGTTTTTACATTCCAATTCGCTGTTTTTAGGCATGCACTTTCTAATTGTATGAATTTTTTAAATCGCACTTCAAAAGCTATTTCTCATTCTTGTTTTCATTGCATCTTAACTTGATATCGCTGAGCAGATCTAAAATAATTTCATCTTAATAGCTACTTTGTAATATATATTTTTAGATTATTTGAAAAATTCACGTAGACTTTTCGAAATGATCATGGCTTGGTTGATTTCATTGTTTAATGTCGTGTGAGCGGTCGGACGTCTACAATAGGATTATTGATGATTATGTGTGATGCTGTTCTTTCATCATTCTCTTTTGTATCGGCCATTAATACCATTGAATATATCTCGTTGAAAATATATGCGGTCATCGTATTCAATTGGATAATTAATCGTTGCTTCGTCCTTCATATATATTTGACCCGGCCGCGCGTTTGCTTTGTTCTTTCTTTTCTTCTTCTCCTTCTTGTTCTTCACATGCGCACATCTCTGTTTTAATCTGATCGCTCTATTCTATTCAACGTGGCCACAACATACTGAAGTAGAATAATGTAAAATACGAAGCAGAGTTCATTTTTTTTAATATAAAATTCGTTTTCAACGTGTGAATGCAAGATCTCAACTAAATATGCACAAAAGTATGCAATAATGTTCACATGCAATAAACGATTAGAATAATACAAATGATTATTAATGGGATAGTTTTGTAAGTTGACATGCTAATCTTGATGACATCAAAATTGATGTTGCATTATCGATTTTTGATGAGATACGTTGAGCAGATGTCGTTGTTGTCATAAATGATCGGTGCTGACCAGCAGCTAGTCGAAGTTGATTGGTGCTGTTAACAAGATCAGGGCACAATAATTTAATACCAGCAGATACGATATCTTTTTGTTGAGTAGATGTAGTTGCTGTCAAATAATATTCAGCTGAATGAGTTTATCATAAATGAATCAACGTTGCGTCACAACTCATACCATTTTCTACGATTAATGAGAGTGATTTTTTTTCTTTTCTGATCGTCCCATTAGAAAATGCTTACTTAAACGCGTGTAGGTGTCGTCGGTCATATGTTAAACTGTCTTATTACCATTCAATCATGATTCAACAAACCGTCTTTCTCAAACGAAATCGTCTGTTTATGTTACAAACTTTGCTCTACTTTACTTACTGTCTTTCAAGCTAGAAACTCCAAAATTTCAAATAAAAATTTTCATGATATGAAAATGATCCTCATTTTACCTAACCGGCTATTTAATTTTTAGACCATTCGAAGGATCTCACAAAATGGCTCATCTCCTCTCAAATCTATACTTTCGTTATGCAATCTCGAAAAAAACTAATATCTGATGTGTAAATATTCGTGCAAGTAACCTGATTCGACTGATGAAATACACTCTCCTACTTATACTGCATTAGCTAAACTTATACTTGTCATCATCTGTGATATTGATAAATCGTCTTCTGGGTCATCTGACCACTCGTTTGCCTATAACGGGACTCATATGCTAGTCGAAGACGAGACTCGTGTACACTTACAAAATCGTCATCGATCATATTCATAAATCGTCTTCTGGGTCATCTGACCAGTCGTTTTTCCCATAACGGGAATCATGAACTAGTTGAAGACTAGACTCGTGTACACTTACAAAATCAAACTACAATTGATACACTGGATATAATACTACGTAGTTCGCACCAACCTAGAAGACAATAATGCTAATCAAACAACATCTATACAAATTAACTCACGCTTTCGAGCAAGCTTATCCAAACACGAACAATTTATACCGTAATAGTCGATGAAAACGCTTCGCCGTATGATCCAATGCTTCATGTACTTCTACTCTATCACAAAACTGCTTCTACAATGGCTCTCATCGTCATCATTCTTTTTTTTTCATCGCTCGAACAGTTGAAAAATCCTTATCTGATCCGTCTGCATGAACATGAAAAGAAACAGATTAATTCGCTTCAACTACATCGCGTCTTATATAAACATTATCTATGCATGCGTCACTCAATCAGTATCGTGCCTGACAAGCTCTCAGATCACGAACAAATTTCAAACTCAAACACGGACAGCTTTACTTCGCAATGAGAAATAAAATCGCAAATCTCAAAAAAGGATGATACCCTCCAATGCCACAAAATAAATTCCCTCATCAACATATTAAGCTCATCTCATCAAACATCTACCGAATATATTTCTCCCGAACTTCTTTTCAAATCGATTGGTGTAAACAATTGAAAGATTTCATTTGGAAAAGTGGCAAATTTGCCTTTTTCTTCACTTGATCATGCATACAATATGCTACCGTTAAGAAGAGAAGTTTTCTCCTTTCAACAGTCCGATTTCAGTTGAAATTTCTCGATTTCGACTCCGTTTGCTAACATCGATATGATGAACGCGTCTTTGAGCCGATTAGATTCAACGATCAGTGACTTTCATTTTTAAAAAATCGGAAATTCGCCCTTTTCTTCACTCGACCATGTGTGTGCACATGCATTATTTGTGTTGACGCTTGGGAGAGATATTCTTTGTTTCCAATAGATCAATTTAGAGGAAAATTGAAGGAGTTTGTTCCCGTTGCAAATCATTTTTTCGATGAAGCATGTGACCATTACGTTATCATGCGAATTGACTGTGGAAGAAAATCAAATGTCTTATTTTACATGGTTTGACCGTTTGGGCATTGTGAATTCAGGAGGAGTTAAAGGAGAGTAAATTGTTTCTATTTTAGATATCGAAACTGGAGAAGAATTCGAAATAAAAAGGGTAAATCATAAAAGTTCAGATTCTTCCGTCAACTACGTCGAATCATCTGTTCGATGTTGGAAGACTTATATGCAAAAGATGAGTTTTGTGTAATGATAATTTTTCTGTATTTGTAATTTTGAATTGAATAAACATTACGTCAGTTCGTAGCCATTCTGAATGAGATATCGAAGACGATTATTTGGGTTTTGAGTAGGGGTGGCACTTTAACTTTAACTTTAAAGGAAAAGTTAAAGTTTAAAGTTGCTTAAAAACATAAAATAAAGAAGTTTAACGCGACTTTAAAGAACTTTATACTTTAACTTTTTCTTTAAAGTTAAAGTTAAAGTGCCACCCCTAGTTTTGAGAGCAAAGTTGTAGTTGAGATATTTTTGCTGATGCACTTGGCTGTTCTTGTCCAGGAGTATGTGTAGTTCAGAGAGAAATGATTTTTAGATATTGGATATTCGCTTTGGCTTTGTCTCGCGTGAAGATCTTGGTAGTTTATCCCATTGAAAAGGAAATAGATTCAGTTGCACGTTAGATGATATAGTTTTCATTTGAAACCTTATCTTGATACAGAGAGAGTCGTTTTTGTCAATGTGAAGCCAAGTATAGTCTTGATCTATATGCAGTTAAAATGGATTTGCCAAGGGGGAAACAGCGATACTCCAATAAGAACTTGGAGTACAGCAGCGTATAACGGAGTATTGTGGAGTTTTGCTGGAGTATGGCCGTAGTAAGTTGGAGTACTGAAGTATTGGAGTATCGCTGTTTCCCCCTAGGGTTTTGCATTTTGCCACAGATTTGTCTGAGAAATTTTCATTTGCGCAGTTGTGGTGAGTTTCCTTATAACGCGGTCGTCCAAATTTAACTGGTGAGTGATGATCTTTCAGGTCACCACTGTTTGCTTCACTTGTCTATGTCTCGAACGTACGATACTAATTAGCATGTACGGTAATTTCTAATATTTTTTCGGGTTTCCATCGGTCCCAGTTTGTTGAGCATATATTACGCAGTCCTTCCATTCGTCAGTATATAGTAGCACTAGCGCGGATACCCGCTGAGAATTAAGAAATATTTTAATCCGATTTCATGACCAACTTTCCAACATCAGATCCTCAAGATGGTGGCCGTAGATATTACAAGAACTCAATGCATAAGGAAGAGAAAATATTTATAAAAATTTTCTTGGTATATAAATTCTAAAATTCTATCGATCAGCTTCATGGATTGCCTGCAGCAAATACAGGACTGTGAAATATAGATAGCATATGTAGCTTCTTGTCCATGAGCGATGAGATAGCCTTCGGCCGTCTTCGCTACCAAACTTCTCCCTTTTTTCAAATCCTCCAGTCCCAGTTCTGGCCAGCTCCACATGCTGCTCCTAGCAAACACAGCATTATACCGTAAACCGACCGTGTGTAATGTTGCCTTCGGCCGCCTTCGCTATCCATCGAGCCCATTTCTTGAAATCCCGATATTTCGGATTGCCTGACTTCGTAAGTTTCAGGTACTGAATATAACATCGCAACATATACAACCTATGGAATGTTCTCTTCGACCGCTCAGACGGCCTTCGCTATCACCCTCACCCACCCTCAACACCCCTCCCAAGCCATGTTTTATCAAGTTTTGGGCTATTTTGAAAAAAATATTTTTTTGACCTTTGACCTTTGACCCGCGACAAACATACATACAAACGCATTTCAGTTTTTTGACCACTTTTTTTCGACATGACCCTCCTTTCAGTCGAGGGAACAAACGAGCATATTATCGACTGATGTTCTATTACAACGTCCTATACATTCGAATGCCTTATTTCTGCCGACCAATGGCCATCATAAAGGACATTTTTAGACAAAGGACTATTTCTCAAGGACATTCATGCCTGCATTCACAAATCTCTTGCCGCCGGATTCGGTCGTAAAACGAATTTAGCCGGCTGCAACCGACCGAGCCACAATGATCTGTGCGGAATATAAAATACACGAACGGCTTGAAGTTTTTCAGGAATCTATAGGACTGTAAGAAATACAATTCTCTATCCAGTAACATAGAATTTGCTTATACTAGTGTAAAAATATCACGCAAAACGATAATGGACATCCAATCAACCTCGAGGAACTCTTTCTTCGCATAACTGTATGTATTTTATAATTGTTTTTTTTTCGAAGAATTCATGAATATTTTGTTAAACTGTATTATTTTAACAAATTAGACAAAAAATATTGTAAAGACGAGTAATAAGTTAATTTTTTAGGAATCGTCTTCGCCACGATAAACAACAATATTTTTGTCTGTTTCATATAATTTAATCTCATATAAACGAACATTTTTATATTGCTGATTAATAACATCATTGATTTGATTCCAAATAAAAATAGCGACGTTTTCAGTTGTGCTTATAACATGATTTCGACGAAAATATTCAACATCTAAATCAATATTTTTATGATCAAGTATATTAAGTACATATTCTACGAGAATATATTTCAGATCACTAATATTCATAACCATCCCTGTTTTTCCATCAATATTTCCAACAATGGTAACTTCAAGAACATAATTATGGCCATGTCCATTCAGATTATTACATTTACTATAAATTCGAAGATTTTCTTCGTCGGATATATGATTTGAATGAAGACGGTGTGCACTACTGAATGATTCACGTCGAATTAAATAAATTTTTGATTTTGAAGACATTGTCTAAATAAAAGTCAATTGAAAATTATCTAGCTGTACTGTTTTATAATACTTGGTTGAGGAAAAATTTCGTGCGCCGTGTTATGAGGGTGACCTCACCCCCTCCCTCATAACACGGCGCACGAAAGTTTTCCTCAAACTAATAAAACCAACGTTTTGAAACAAATTTGATAGAAGTGATTTTGAATTTATATAGTCAGTTAATATGAAAGTATCTACCGATCAAAGTATATTATCAAATCAACTAATCGAATACTTTCGTATACAATACCAAACGAATTTGAATGGAAAAACAATAATATTCGATATTATTATAAAAACTGGCATATGGGTAGAAACTGTATATGATTCTTTGCATCATGCGTCAATGTGCTTAGAGTTACGGTAATAATTCGATTTCATGCGTAATGAAATGCTGCTTTTTTGCAAAATATATTTCCAAGTCGAAATAATATATAAAAGTTTGAATTTTCGAGAAATAATGCAGAAATGTATACGCTAATTTGAACTTTTAACGCCTGCAGCGCATTTTCATCGTAATAGAAAGCATACTTGTGTTGTTACATTTAATATTGAATTAACTTTCTAAAGATTGGCACTATATTATTATGAGAAAATATGACTCATAATATTGATCGATTCAAAAGAAAATAATTTGACTTTTATGTAGTTATTTTATATGACATATAAGACATAGAAAAGTAGAACAGGTCATTAACCCATTTCTATCGATGTTTCACACCTGATTGATTTTTCTTTTTCTCGCCAATTCTAACATTCGATCGATTCGACATAACACGAATATTTTATCGTATGGAAGATAGGTAGCTTTTCTTATCTTTACACACGAAAAATACTAAACGACTCGATGAATAGAAATTACGTTTTTTTATGTTTTAGTTTATTCATCAATACAATGAAATGAGAGAATCAAACAAAATTATATCTTCAGAATGTAAATCCATCAATTGAACGATATGATACTGTTATAATTCTTCTTTTTCATATACTAGATAATAATGACTGCGCATGAAAATGGCTTTTGTTCAAAAAACATTCTCAGTCATTTCGAAATACTGTATATGGTACAAACAATCTGCTTCACTGTTACAATCAATAACAATCACGAAAGATGGTGAATATCATTTTTCATATAAAATTATCTTTTTTCTATTCAAACAACAAAAAGTATAAACCTATTCAATTTATAAACTACAGTATAACCTGTCTAATGTGAGCACTAATCGGATCCATCAAAAGTATCCACTTCAAGAAGTTGCCCACTATGGAGAGTTTTCACTCAAAATTTGTTCAGTCTCTGGTTCAACTTTAGTACTACCACTCTGGATCATTTTTAACTCGGTGAATAGTAAATTCAACTAATAGGACATATATTATTATTAATTAGCTGTTCTTCATAAATAGTATGGACTGGAATTAATCGCGTGTGCTAGAGTTTAGGATATGTGTGGATCATGATGTAAAAGAATATATAGGAGGAACAATAATGAGTGAAGCTTCTAGATAGCGGCGAACAGCGTTTTTCATATTAAAATGAGAATTTTCTTGATGAAACAACTGGCCATAACAAATTTTCTTTTTTAGAAGTCAATTTATGGTCACAAAGGCTATGAAAAGAGGATAGCAGTACTAGGATTAATCGTTTCGCAGAAGAATAAAATTAATTGTCTTGCTGTCATGTAATATCTTTTTGCTAAATATTTAGTCCTTATTCTACCGCACACACTGTTTAGGTTTTCCTCAAACTTTGATGTGCACAGTATATTCAATTTTCCGTCTTTGTGAAGCCATCGACTAATACATCATCCGTATTATAGAGGTTGTTGTTAATTTTCGGACCAAAAATTAGTGCTCACTAAACAGAGGTTTCTTTCTAGTCGAAGTCGATAGGGCGGACTTTCGAGCGCCCAAATTAGGTTGGTGATTACTGTCAGGAGGTGCCCACATATAGAGGTTTTACTGTGATACACTAAATGAATATACAGAACAGTTATATCAGAATACATTTCGATTGACCGGAATGGCAGTGAAATGTAGATCATCTGTATAATTGTTGACTTGTTGGAGAGTTCACAATTCACATCTACAGTGAAGAACTCTTTGACATTTGGATTGAAGTATGAGAACTATATTCGTAATTACCAGACCTTCCAAATCATCATTCGGTTTCATCATCATTTATTGAAATTTAAATAAATATAATTTTAAAAATATATAAATTGGGAGATATCGTAAGGTAAGTTTAGATTTGAGATAATCGGTTGAAGGATACGAATTGATGGTATGGGATTGTGACGAATATTGGTACAAATATTTCATCTGTTTGAGAGCTTTGCTGAATACCGATGACTTCTATTTGTTTTAATATTACGACAGATTCTGTGTAAAGTGCGTTTAATAAAGGAAAAGAGACAGTTGTGTGTGCAGATGACAGAAGATACTATCGTGCCGAAAGGCGTCAACAGTCACTCTCAGTTTTCATTACACCGATGATTTTCTATGATGAATTTTTCGTTTGCTTGGATGGCTAGTAAGATGAAAATTCCTCTTTGTAATTGGTTCATCTCGAGATGATTATTGACGAATATAAAAATATTAGCACGAAGAAAGTTTAGCTTTGAGAATATAGTCTGTAGGTATGTCCTATATTGTACTAAATGATATGACTTGTCATACAGTAGAAATATAAGAAGCATTGCACGTACGCCACACCTGACGTCGCGCAATGCCCATCTCCGGTTTTCCCGACATGTTCACAGTAGTTAGACTATGATATGCTAGGAATAAGTCCACAATTTTAGCTCAATCGGACATGCCGGAGAGAAATGATGAGCTAATCTGTTAGCTTTTCCTTGCAGACCAAATCTGTATCAGTCCGATTAGGTTAATGCGTGTGGTTGTCCTACTTCGGTGTTGAAGAAATGAACGAGATGAGTCGATATCTTCGTGATAACGTTTATTGATAAACGACGAGAAGAAAAAACAAGAAACGACCGATGTCGATCACTGTTCAAAGACAACTGGCGTCTGTCTGATCTTACAAGTTTGGAGAGCGGTCAGGCAGGCAACATAGAGAGAAAACATAAATATATATTATGGCATCGAACCGCACATAGGACATATAGATCTGAACAAGGGGAGAAAAGAAAAAGAGTAGCGATAACAATGTACTATCTGTTATCGCTAACATAAACATTATGCATAGCCGTTTTCGGTCATTGTAAATACTCTTAGAAGTCACCATCTTGAATTTCAGGTTTAACGCGACTAAAAAGCCTAAAACTTTCGCAATGAAGTATTCACAGTAAGGCCTCAACGTACGCAAAATATGAGTTCAAAATTTAATCTTCAACTTGTTTCAATTCCCTGGCGGGGATGACGGCCTTTTCCTATTGATATATGTGCTCATAATTATGACACCAATGAAAAGGAAATACGAATGAGAACATATTCATGAATTATCCATCTAATTCGAATCTATCCACTATACATCTCTTTTTAGTCAATCTGACGCTGTTTCCAGGCCAGTTCTGTGTGAAAAACCAAGGAAAAACTAGAAAAATACAACATACGTTCTATCGAAGGCATAAAAAATATGTTTCACAACTTCTCTCCAGTATGTCCGATTGAGCTGAAATTTTGAACTGATAGGTTTTTCACTACTGGCTTTCAGCTGGACTATTCCGATCGGATATAAGAAAGCAAATTGAATACCCTTATCTATAGAGTCTTGAAATCCAAGCGAAATTCTTTGGTACTGTTGAAAAGAGTTTATGCATCCAAATTCATTTGTACAAAATTTTGAAGACATAAATTGATTAATCTCGAAGTGCTCTTTCATGTACGAATACTCTTGAAAAAATTCCAAGGCGCTAATCCACTTGATGTGACATGGATCCTTATCCCAATGACCTCGCAATACCGAAGGAAAAAAGTCCTAAAGCCAGGCACTTTTAATATCATCAAACCATACTCCACTACTGACAGTACTCACCAAAAAAATCATATTTCTATCTTCTACTGTTCGTGAGATATTGAAAATTGTTGCTTAAAACAGGGTTCAAAATGTTCGTTACTCCAGATACTTGTAACGCTTATATCTCAACAACGACTTATTCGGTTGAGCTGAAATTTTGGAGTTATTCCTAACATATCATGGTCTAACTATTGTAAAAATATCAGCCAAATCGGAGATAGCTATTGCGTAAAGTTATGCTAAATTGAGTTTGGCCTAGGTGCAATACCTCATACATACACACAAATGCATTTCAGTTTTTTGGCCACTTTTTTTCGACGTTGCCCTCCTTTCAGTCGAGAAAAAAGAATGAGATAGAAAATATCGAAAATACTCAATGGTTTTGTTAACTAATAGTTAGTTGATGAAGCGTAGCAAAAAGAAAAAGAAAACGAAATCACAAATGTAACGACAAACTGGTTGAGTAGTTGACCGCTTCTCACGGTATCGATGTTTATTGACTACTCTATATGACCAGAATGTCTCTCTTTCACAATAAGACACGCGCTTATATAGAGAAGAGGAAAGAAAGATATGACCCGGAGATAATATGATATAGAGGTGAGAGAATAAAGAACAGAAAGAGATGAACGATATTATTATCGTTACAACAAATATTTTATAGTTACCGATGCATAAAGCATCAAACCTTATAAATTCGATTTTATTCATTGACAGAAAAACTCACCTTCTTTTTTTGTTTAAAGATAAAGAATACAAAATCTCCATATATCATCCGATATATCTTCTCATCGTACAAAAAATCAATATAATTTAACTGATCGAGTCGCTGTTGTTACTGGATCAGATTCTGGCATCGGTAAATGAGAATTATTTTTAAATTTAAAGAATCTATGTTTTCAAAGGACAAGGCATTGCTCTTCTTTTGGCCCAATCTGGTCGCCATGTAACTGTTTGCTATCATAAAAATGAAAAAGGTGCTTTAGAAACTGCACAAAAAATCCATGATTTTGGAAGAAAATCATTAGTTATTCAAGTTGATATTAGTGACGAGAAGCAAGTTAAGGAATTAATTGAAAAAACACTGAAAAACTTTGATAATCATATTGATATTTTTATCAATAATGCTGGTAAAGATTTTCTTATTATTTCTTTCTCAATGAAATCATTTTAATCTAGGAATATCTGGTGATTTTAATAATGTAATTGATAAAGAATTTCGAGATTGGGAAGAAGTATTTCGCGTCAATATTCATGGAACATATCTTTGTTCAAAATTAATTGCTAAACAATATCTCAAGCAAAATCTAGAAAAAAAAATTAATGAAGCTGATCAGAATCATGGAATTATTATTAATATTACAAGTGTAAGACAATATCTTGTTTGTGAAGGTTCAGCTGCTTGTAAGTTATTCCAAAAACTATTGAATAGTTGAAAGAATTCATTTTGTTTCATAATTATATTAGATTGTGCATCAAAACTTGCTATAGAAAGTTTGACAAAAACAATGGCATTAGAATTAGGACCACAAGGGATTCGGGTATGCGCTATATGTCCTGGTCTTATTGATACTCCAATGACGTCATGGGCAACTCGTGATGCAGAAAGAAAATCTAAAGTTGAAAAACAAATTCCAATGAGACGCATTGGTCATCCAAGTGAAATCGCTTCTATGGTTGCTTTTCTTTGCTCGGATGATGCTTCATATTGTACGGGACAAACTTATATTGTTGATGGCGGTTGGTTGTTGACCAATCCAAATCTGTTTGCTTAACCCTAGTACTACCGGCCTTTTTAAAGACCTATTTCGACAAGATATATCTCCATAGAGTAGTTACTTTTACTTTTGGATCAGTTTACTGATAAAATATGTTGTTTTCATATTCGATCTAATAGAAGAACTTTACCGAAATGATATTTTTTATTAAGAACAAATAATTAAAAGAACAAGTATAACATAATGTTCATTACAAACAAACTCAGAACAATTAGAACATCTAGTTGACGTTTTCTTGTCCACAAAACGTTCACAAAGCGAACATCGTTTCAGTTTTGACCGAGTAGAATTGTCATTTGAATCGGATATATCTCTTCTTACCACAGGTTAACAAACAACAACTAATGCATCCTGAATATAAAAATATTGGCTATGACTTTCGTCTTCAGTCGAATCTTGCATAATTGTTGTTATAATATACGAACAGCTCTATACCGATGATATAAGGAAAAAATGCAATCTAACAGTCAGAAGTAAACGAAGGAACACTATATGAACTGTTATTAGGTGAAGTAATAAACTGGCAAGGAAAATTTAATAGAAAAATTAGTCTCCTTCATGGCTTTACAAGCTTTCAAAGTGATATCTCAACCTCATTATTTTAAAAAACTGAAACAGAAGGGAGAAACAAGCTATATCTTAGATCTGCATCTGCAATGATAAATCATCTATTCTGATGATTGGATAGTTCGAAACCATTCAGAAAAATATTTTTAATCGATTAGAAGTACGTATATCCGCTTAGATTAATAAATGAATGGCTGAATTATATATTGTACGTTTTATTTTTTTCCTTTCTTGTAATATACTTGTTGTATGCTAAAGACATGTTCTTGTGACAAAGATTTGCAATGATACCAGAATAAGTGTATTTCTTTTTCAGTTTAAGAACATATCTAGTTATTATACATAGAGTACTCAATAAGTTCTCGAAATGTTTATTTTTATCATCTGTTAAAGTAAGATTAACTTGCCATAATCGATCTTTGATTAATTGAACTTCCTCAATGCGAAAAGAAGTATGAGTAGAAAAAAGTAGCACTCATCCGTTGGATTCGCTGACCTTTTTATGAAAGAATCAGAAATTCCCTCGACTGAAAGGAGGGTCATGTAAACAAAAGTTTGTCTGTCTGTTTGTGTCAGGATCAAAGGTTAAAGGTCAAAAAAGCATTTTTTGAAAATGCTCAAAACGTCATGAAACATCGTTTGGAAGGAGTGTTGAGGCTAGATCTTGGTTGAGACGTGTATGCGGAAGAAGGAAGATTGAAGCTCGAAGAACACGCCGAGAGAGCGTTTGTAACTGAGATAGTCAGCGTCATCATATGCTTTCCTCAACCGAAAGGAGGACCATATGAAAAAAGTAGCTAGTGCTTATAATGTCAGTGTCAAAGGTCACTTAACCCTTAAAAGCCGAAGAGGGTTTTTGTGAAATGAAGAAAGAATTAATCACATAAATAGAGAATTTAGACCTCCAATATGCACAAACCGTGGTTGGAACTGCTGGGTGGGGCTAAAAAATTTTTCCACCCAGATGACCTGGGTGAAGTATGATCGTTATAAATTTCTGCTTGGGTGATCCTGTTATATGGTTCAGGATCACTGTAAGTTCACGCTGATGAAATTTTAAGATATCTGTAATTATCTATAGAGCGAAAATTTGCGAATAACCCTGAGGATTATGCCCAAAAGTTCCCATAAAATGGCACTTTTTTATACCTTCAAAACACCTTAGTAAAAGAGTTTAAAACGCACAAAGTTGTTTTATATTATAGTTTAGAATTGTTTCTAATGATATCACTCGAAATCCACGTTGCATATATCATCAGACAGAAATATCCAAGTAACCAATTATGGTGGAAAAGTCACACACTCTAAAAGCGACACCTTGGTGTCTGACCACTATTTTGATACGATTTTTTTCTTATAATACTATCACTCTGGCTGTTCTCATTCGACAAAATAGTAGCTCTTGTGGATGCGACTTAATTCCTTCGTTCTATAGCCATTAATGCAATGCCCTTTGGAAGGGACGTTTCGGCTTTTAAGGGTTAATATAAATGTCTTGGTTCACCGTCTCATTGCGCCATGTAACTAATCAGGTGTTCATAGTCATAAAATCGACCAATCAGAAATAGAAGATCAGAAACCGACTAATAAAAAACGGAGGGTGATGATAGTTATGGTTTTCATGTATCCCAAGCATTTGTTCAATGCTAAGAAGCCACTTTGTACCAAATTCCTTAATATGAATTCAATATGATATTGTTGTATTTAGAAGCTGCGTCCTGTCATCCGACTACTGATCAAGTATTACACGGAACTAAACAAATAACGTTCGTCGTGTCGACTCACTAAATCCTTGACTGTGGAGGACAGATACTTTTTCGTGCTCCAATTGTAAGACAAATTGGTCTAATAATTTTATATACGAAGAAGCAATTCAAATTTTTTTGCGCACATATAATTAATTAGTAACTTTCTAAAACAAGATACTGAATTTTTTTGTAAAAAAACATATGAATTGTTTCTTCGTATATAAAATTGTTAGATCTATTTCACAATTGCAACACAAAAGAATATCTGTCCCCCACAGTCGAGGGTTTAGTGAGTCGGCGCGACGTGCGCTACTTGCGTAATAGATAAAAATAAATAAAAACTCTCACTTAGATCTCAATCTAATTGACTTCGGAATGAAGTCACTTTTGTGCTCATTCTTCCCCTTTAATTCTTTTCTAATCTATTGATGCCAAATTACTTTCAATTCATTTGGCCAAAGATGTAAGCAAAAGGAACACTGTTTCTAAACATTTAGTCATCGACTTTCTTCCGACTATTCAAAATCAAAAAGAGTCGTGTCCATCAAAATTAGACCATTCGACTCAGAATTTAATTCGGCATCGAATGGTGGTACTTTTATTCACGGGACAAACTTTGGAAAGATTCTATCTGGATTATAAATAGTCATAAAGGAAATGCCCGGTTCCGTGGTGTTCCGTAGATTTCATGGAAGCCGGGTTCCGCTCAGAAATCACAAGTTTCCTCAGGGATTTTGTCGGAAATTTATGGAGTCCTGCTTCATGAATCATCGTGCTGAGATATGAATCAACAAGTGAAATTTTTTGGTCAGTGCATATCTAACACACATGTTGATAATTAGTGGTTTTCTCGAAGACAGATAAAAAACTAAGGTGTGAAATCGAGGTAGGTAGTTGTAAGGTGAGTTCGGCCGAAGGTATCATACATGTGATAAACGTATTTTAAATTATTGTTGAAATTTATACAAGTTTCTAATATTATGCCATCTGTGATACAAAACTTCAATCGTAGAATCAACGATATTCTCTCTGAAATTACACAAAAATTGAGTCAACCAAAAGAAGATTAAATATAATAGTGTACAATTAAAATACAACAGCACTGTGCAAAGACCATATCGTTCTTATGCAAATTTTCTTTTTGAATGAGTCATTCTTGCATAATATTGATACAGAATTGTGCAAGATATTTTACGCAAGGAACACTCATGTTGTACAATAAATATATGTACATGCTTTTCTCTCTCGCTCTTCTAGAGACTATTTGTAACAGTTAAACATTATCATAGATAGATATAATACTATTTTAGTTATTGCAATTACACAATGATAAAAATCAGAGCCTTTTTTCAGATAATCTTTATCATTATGAATGCTCATCCAATTACTGTCATCGCATGTGATATCGGTGGTGTAATCAGAAATGTGCAGAATGATCAGCCAATTGAAAATGCTGTGGAATCTGTGATCAAATTGGCACAAAATCCATTGAATAGAGTGATATTCATATCTAAATGCAAAGATAATTATAAACAAAGCTCAAATATGTTTCTTGAAAGGCACAATTTATCCCATATTCCAACATATTACTGTTTAGAATATGGAGATAAAATCAATATTGCTGATAACAACCATGTTAATATTATGATTGACGATAGAATGCAAATTTTAAGTACTTTTCCATCTTCAATTGTTAAAATATGGTTTTGTTCGGATACAAAAAAGATTGAAGGTGCCAGAAAATTCCAACCAGATTTTTTCGATTCTGTTAGAATTGCTCGAAGTTGGACAGATGTAATGAAAATAATTGAAGAAACACAAATGTAATATATTCACTATTGTTTTATCAAACACAACTATGAGTGATCATATTTTATATTATTCATTGATTAAATAAAAACGCTTTCAAATGATCTGAAATAAACTTTAGGCAGAAAAATGAGTAATCTACGGTGAATATCACTATTTCGGTTTTATTCGTATACTTCAACTGCACAAGTTTAATCTGCTATGACGCGTTGTCGACTGACTTTCACAATCCTATTAGATGATTTAAACTCTCATACTTGGAGAAATTTGAGCGATCAGTAACGAAATTGTATTCACGTGCATATCGGTAATAAAAACCGATTTCGAACTTAAAACATCAAAATGAAAATCTAAAACTGATCAAAAACCGTTTAAAATTACTTTTAAATGAACCAAAGTTTGTGATACAATTAATTTGATTTTTATAGAAAGATCGAGATTGGTGACGAATAAAGACTTGAATGAATAAAAACACCATTCGGAAGTAAATTGTGTGAAACAACACATTAGAAGACCCCTTTTTTACAATATATCAATCAATTTTTTTGCTTCTCCTATCTGTGAGTGTTTTAAAATCATACCGAATAGTGTTTTCTTTCTCACATTTATGATGAAATACACTCACGAATGTCTATTTCGTTTGTCACGTTTGAAATAGTCTGTTCTTAAATAAGGTCTAACGTACTGCACGGGCCTATGTGTAAACTAGTAGCGTACTCAAAGATCGCCGGGCGAATTAGCCTCGCTGTACTGGTTGTGAATAGAATTCTATGTTTTTATTGAGAATGTATAGTTATTAATGCGATACTGTCTCACATGTTCATAAGAAAAACAAATTATTCATGAAATCAAACTTATCCATTATAATCGTTTCTGTACATCTTCGTCGATTTTAAAGAGTAAGGATCGATGGCACGACAAAAAGGCTTAGTGAGTGTCTCGTGCTCTATCATGAGCAAAAATATGAATTTGAACAGAACATAACAAATGATCCGGATCTATCATTTGATTCATGGCTTTAGTCAAAATTAGTAAATGGAATATTGCTGATAAAAATTGTGAATAATCGGCACTCTTTCATATGAATTGGAAAGAGGATTTAGCAATTGTTGTTTTTTAGTTGTAAATAAAAGCCAATATAACTATTTTGAAATGAATTGCATTAAAGTTACTCGCTTAATCCGTCTAAAAATAACCTTTTTATGGTTTTTTTATGCACTTGAATAAAATCAATATTTTTGATTCGTTGAAAGCAATTCAATGACAGATTCTGCTACAAGACTATTTGCACATTGAGCGATGAGATGCAGTGGTCGATCTTCGTTTTCACCGAAAACATCATTAACATCTGCTCGAAATTGAAGCAATAAGCGAATAGCCGATAATCTTGTGGAATTAAAACAAAAACGAAGTCAATTTCGAAAATTACAATTCAAATAATAATATAAATACCTGCATTGTCGTTCGGTGTCTTCCTAAGAATAAATTGGTCATTTTTGTGCAAAGTTTTTGGTTGAATCAACGAGAAACAAAGTTATTCACATACCAAATTTTTCTTTTTGTAAAAATCAACTTACACAAATGAAAGTATATAAAATCTCTCGGCAATGCATCGGGCAAAAGTTTATATTTTGGTCAAATATCCAATACGTAGTAATTACTAATGAATCAATTGGTACTATTCGATCATGTTTTCATATATTTAATAAATCGCCAGACAATCTAAAATATTGAAATTGAAACGGAAGTGAATTGTGACAATCATGAAGAATTATTTGACAAGAATGTAAACGTAATCTAAAACTATGATGAAATAAACTTCTTTGACGATAATATTCACATTGTTCGTAAATTAAATGACTGTATTTCATATCATCTTTATATTTATGAAATATTCATTCATTGGCGAGTGTAGCATGTGTAATCGAATACCATTCATCGTCTGACTTTTTTTTCAATTCGAGTTTGTGAAAAGAAATAAAGTACTTCTTCATTTCTATGATAATAATAAAAATAGAATTATAAGTGTATATTTCCAAGCTAAACGTATTAAATGATGGAGAGAGTGAATGAATCAGCATTAATAAGACTCTATATAATGTATTGGCAATCAATCGATGAATGTCTTTACGTTTCTTCAATGTACTTCAATCAGATGCATTTTTAGACATGGCAAATACACGAACATTATTTACTATTGAATGTTACTCAGGGAAAAAAATATCAGCAAATATTCGTATTTTCTAGGTGAAAATGAAATACCTCTTCTTCGCCTGACGCACAATTCAAGGTCATAGTCTTCATTATTGGGTTCAATTAGAAGAAATAGAATAAAATAAAACAAAACAATACAGCTTTACAACGATCGATGCTAAAATATAGAAGCCATACGAATATACATCTTGATGGTTAAAATGTGACTGACTATTATATTATATGGATTTTGTTGTCAAAGAGGCGATTATATAAAAAAAAAGATGCCCAGCATTTAATTCAGCATTGAATAATATTACAGCAGCCGGTGTTTGGATTTTAGCTCAAGCATTGGATAATAATTATCGACTGAAATCATTAGCTCTTCATGGTAATCAAATCGGTGATGAAGATCTTTCTTTTCTTACAAATAACAAGCATATCAATAGTCTCAACACCGGAAATAATATAATCACCGACGAAGGTATAAGGCATCTTAGTCAAATGATAAAAGCAAATCAATCGTTAACTAACCTATGGTTTTGCAAAAATAGAACAGGCGAGGTCGATGTTCGAATAATAATAAGACTGTTGGATTTTTGTCTTTTATAATGAAAACATGTTACTTATCGGTGAAAGTGTGTAAGATCGTTAATTTATCTTATTGTAATTTCTTTCCAAGAGGCAAAGAACGACTCATGCAAGCACATCAATTTAGACCATGTATAAAACTAGATATTAGATAAGAAAAACAAGTCAGACGGCGCAGAACGCAAGAGAAAACACATGTTAATGCGCTATTTAATCATCCATAACATGATCTATTTGTTCGCGACGACGAAAATATTTTCTACTGCTCCTACTCAGCAGTTTTTTTCGCTTGAAGAGACAGAACTGCTTAAATAATATGAATTGTCAATTCGATTGAAACAGTGTAAACACAACGATAGAAACGCCTAAAGTCAATGGAAGCGAGCAAGAGATTATCTCGATTAACAAAGAGCAATCTTGAAATATTTTCTATCGTATGGCTCGATACTTGCGTCAATCTTGTTCAGGAAAATCCTGATGTTCAACAACGAATTCGTGCAACAATCAATCATTTGGAAATATTTTCTGCGAAGGACGAATGTGAGCAATATATTCGATCTGTACATCCCAACGATCAGATCATTTTTATTGTCGACTGTCAATCTGGTCAAGACATTGTGCCTGACATTCATCAATTGCCACAAATTTCCTCCATATATATCTACTGTCTAGATAAGCAGAAATACGAACCATGGACGAAGTCATTCTCAAAAGTGAACATGATTTAATGAAATTGAACAAAGATTTTTTTCTTATAATTTAGGTTTTAGATCAAAAACGTTATTGCACATGTGGATGAATTGATCGAACAAATTCAGTCAGATCAAACTAAACGAGTTCATAATAGACATAACGAAACGCTTTCGATTGATTTTTTTCACGCAAATGAGAGTTCAGAGCAATCAAGTACGGCGCTAAACGGTCAATTTATTCATTCTCAACTTTTGATAAATTGTCTTCTTCGAATGAAATTATCGATAAATGATAAAAATGAGCTTATTTCGCTGTGTAAAGAAGAATACAACGGTAATCCAAGACAAATATCTATTGTTGGTGAATTTGAAACGAATTATTCACCTGATCGGGCTGTATGGTGGTATACAAGAGATTCATTTCTATACAAAATCTTCAACAAGGCTCTTCGAATGCAAAATATCGATGTACTTTTTCTTTTTCGATTCTTTCTTCGCGATCTTGAACAACAACTGAAACAGTACAAATGTTCATCGACAATTCGTGTCTATCGAGGTCAACTCATATCGAATAACGAGCTAAACAAACTGAAAGCTTCGATCGGACAATTTATTTCAATGAACTCATTTCTATCAACGACTATCGATCGTGATGTAGCGCTCTTCTTTATTGGTGATATTCATTCCTTAGACGATGAACTCAAGCCAATTTTATTCGAGATTGATGTTGATCCCCGACTTGATGGCACCAAACCAGTTGCTGACATAACATCGCTCAGTTACTTTCATGCCGAACAAGAAGTACTCATTATGCTCGGATCAATTTTTCGTCTTACTGATCTACATCAAGATGAGAACGAAATATGGATCGGTCAGATGACGCTATGTAGCGATAATGATCATCACTTGAATCAAGTGTTTGAATTCATGAAGAATGAATATGGAACTGGAGAGACTGATCTTCTTTCATTTGGTCATAAACTAAAGGACATGGGTAGATTTGACGACGCGGGCAAATACTATCGTCGATTGCTCAATGAACTACCGTATGATCATAAAGATGTTCCACGCTGTTACCACAACCTCGGAAATATGGCGTTTCAAAAAGGAGATTATGATTCCAGTCTCCAATGGTATAATAAGTCGCTCGATATTTGGAATCGAACACTTGAGACGAATGATCCTCTTCTAGCGACGGGCTACAATAATATTGGTCTTGTGTACGATGACCAAAATGATTCGAAGAAGGCACTTGAAATGTACGAGAAAGCATTGCAGATTTGGAAGCAAAAGTTTGGTGAGAACCATGCTAATATAGCCAAATGTTACAATAACATAGGTGTCGTCTATCGAAAAGAGAAAAATTATCATACGGCACTTAAGTATTATCAAAAGGCACTGAGTATCCTGCAGAAGCTTCTTCCCGTCGATCATCCAGATTTAGGCTTACCACATAGTTGTATTGCCAATATTTATTATTATATGGGCGAATATGACCTTGCCTTGCACTACCATGAGCAAGCACACAGAATCAAATTGAAAACTCTCCCTTCTCAACATTCCTCGATTGCAAATACACTTGAGAATATTGGACTTATTTACGAATGCAAGGGTGACTTACAACGTTCTCTGTCATATTATAGAAATGCATCCGACATATTTCATCATACACTGCCGTCTACACATCCAAATGTCATTAAAGTTGAGCAAAGTGTCAATCGCATTCTTTCAAAAATAATGTCAGAATGTGCTCTACATGAATAACAAGGGCTTATTGTGAAAATTAGCATGCGCTTCGATCGAGTCTTGTTCACGTCTAATCTTTCAAACAAAAAACAGTTAATTGAAATCAGACATGAATAAATCCGTTTCTCCGAAGGGTATTGAATCAAGCTTATACATATTTTTCAAGAAAGCACACCAAATGACGTAGTCAACCGAGAAAAAGAGAAAATACCAACTAAACACTGCAAGAGCATAGAGATGATCAGTTTATTCGTCTTAGGATAAGGATAATAAGCGTATTTCTTCACCATCATCTCAAGTCTCGATAGAGTTTTGTTGAAAATTTTGTGATTTTAACGAATAAATCATTTTTCCTTAACATTCTCATCACACTTGCAGCAAGGATGATTTTTAGTAATATAACGATAACGATAACCACAACCGTCACGTCCATGCTGGGTAAGGTAAGTATCATAGCCTTCTCCACACCCACACCCTCAAGAATTTATTCGCTGTTTTCAATGTGACTATTTGTTGTTTAAATAGTTCGACATCAGCTGATAATTTATCGATTCTTTCCACTGATTGATCAGCGTATTCATGTCGAAGCAATTGTGTTATCTTTTCGATTAAAGTCATATATTCTGTACTTAACGGCTTTTTGCATTGTTCGATCTCACGGACTTTGATTTTTAAAGTTTCTTGGTATTCACTGATAATTTTCCGTAAATTTTCCAAAACTCCTGTAATCTTGCCTATATCAGCGTTTTCATCGTCTCGCATCAATGCATTCATTTCCTCTATTTTTCGATGCACTTCTCCTAGCTTATTCTACAAAATAACTTCGTTTCAGAGCATTCGGATAACTGTAATACAGAACTCACTTTTCGGATTGTTTCCGATTCGATATCATCGAGTGAACCAGCTTTTTTGTGTTTTTTTGAACGATGATCATTCGATGCTTCTGTTTCATCGTGAGAAAGTTCGCTTTTCTTACATAATTGGGAAGATTGTTCTTCAGACACATTGTTGTCCTGGAATTGAAATGTTTTAAACAAACCTCGATTGTAACAAGATAGAATCGAAATAAAGATACACGACAAACAACCTGAATAGCAAGTCCAAATGTTTTATAAAAAGTCTCCACACTATCTTGAAAATTGCTTTCTGATGTTGAAGATAAACTGATAATGCAGGATTATTTTTTGCGTTCTGTCGAGTTATTTCGTCACATAAACTCAGTGAACAGAGTGAGTAGTCATGTGAAGGATGACATTTGAAAAACTAAGTTTTCAAAGTCAATATTCTGATCGATTTCCATCGTTTTTGTTCATCCAAAAATTAAAAACTTCATTTGCAACATATTGAAACATTTCTTCAATGTGAAGAACTCTTCTAAACTTAATTTCTTATGTAAAACAATATATTTTCTATGCCATTACCTACAATTCTTTTTCAACAATGACTCATGCATAGCAACGGAGTGTGACGCGTTCAATTACAATTTCATTTTTTTCAGATTCGTGTCAGTATATCCGCTTCACATTGAAGAAAGAAAAGATAATAACAAAACAGAATTCGTTTCCAGAAATTAGTCGCACCACCGATTGTCATGGCGTGGATTCAGCGACAGTACGTGTCAGTGTAATTACAATAGCATTGTCTGTTCTTTGACGACAGCATTTTCGCACAATTCGTCGGGTCAGTTCAGGAAAGAAGCCGAGCCACACCCATGGGAAAAAGAAATAAATGATATAAATAAGATCACTGAAGTAATTTTGCTGAACATAATTAAGGAAAGCTGGATCGACTAGAACATTGATAATATATACCAGAAGAAATGGTGTCCATCCGACGAGATAAAGTGCTGAAACAGACAATAACTGTCTTAGCATGCGTCGTTGCTGACGCCATCTGCTCAATTGTTGCACACGACGTTTCTGTAGAAACACTCGTGCAATCAAAACTGTATTAGCGAGAATGTCAATCGCAACTGGAACACCGTTGTTCATCACGAGATCGAACGAGCCAAGAAAACTGCCATACATCAAATAACAATTAGCAAAACCGCATACTCGACTGCTGAAATCCCATTGAGTATTGTTACATGGATACAAAAGAATCGCATATATGTAGAATACTGTTGGATAAATAATGCAGAATAAAAGTGGCAGATGATGTAGTAAATGACATATCCAACGTTTTCGTAGAATATGTTGATGAAAAATAAATATATGGCGTTGAAGAGATATGATAGCTAAGAGATATTCACTTGATACATAGATAATATATTCAAAGAATGTCCACCATATACAATGGCTTGCAACAGGTGGATTTACATATCCAGATACGTAGAAATTACGGCTGAGTGGAATATCGAACACGAGTTGAACAGAATTGATGATGAGCAAAATGAATAATCCATGTTTTTGCGGAGCTTTGATAAAAGTGCGATGTTTTGTCAAGTGAAAAAAGATTAGAATTGTCACCATGATCGATGAAATTTGTAATAGTAAGAATATAGTAAATTTGATACGATAGAAGGCGAATTTACTGCGTCCAATCGATTCCAAATCGGTGATGTTCATTTTTCTGATTAATAGAATATAGTATGGGTTTATTTAGTTCTTCGAATGATGCAAGTTCATAAAACATGTTTAATTTTCTCTCTTTACTGATTACTTGTTCTTTTTTCATATTAAAACTTGATTTCGACAAATTCAACAACGGAAAAGAATTTCTTACTTCATTATACACGTAATTTCTTCGCATTAAACAAACGGAAATAGCTACAACATAGATCTATTCAGTACGTGTTTCATAATAGAAAAACTAGATTAGTTTTCGTCACATCAGACACACTGAACTCGGACAAGATTCAATTCCTAATGTAAGGATAATTGACGGATAGGGTGGAAGACTTTATCAATCTATCCATAAAAGTTATGTTCTCAGCAACTTCATTTGTATTTCTAAGATTTCAATAAAGAAATTAGAGAATGGAAATAAATAGAGTGATACTACTGATGTTTTTCTCATCAAACATGAAAATCGCTCCATATTACGCGCAAACCGATGTATAAACATATTTTTAAAAAGATCTGATATAATAACAAAGACCGATTTAAAAAGACAGCTTTGAAAGGGCAAGCATGAATATGATTCCACTAATTACTGATTACTTGCCTGAAAAGTTATTGTTATATCACTCATTTTTTCGTGCTATTTATTTAATCATATGTTTTTTTCTTTTCTTTTCTCCAAAATGAAAATACAAAATTCAAAACTCTTCGCTTTTTCTTATGCATTATATCATATATGAAAAATTCTTGTTGTTCAGATTGTTTGGGAATCACCATATCTAACTTAAGATTGTGATCAATTGTAGATGTGGTTGATAAAGCAACAATAATATTAACGAAGCATAACACTCATTTTCATTTGATAGTCGTATACTGGTTTCAAGCCGTAACTGATAACAAGAAATTTCATGTGTTCGAAACAAAATTTTTAATCAATGTAGCATTAGTGATTGAATTACATCCAGCAGTACATTAAAACACTAACACTACTCATAACAAAAAATTGATTAAAAATTTTAACTATTTCAATTAAAGATTTTCTTTCGTGAATTCTTCGTTTTTGGTACATATTGACAATAAAGCCGGAAGTATAACATTCAGCCGACAAACAATCTTCATATACCGTTTTCAAAGGGAATTTCCAAATAAAGTCAAACGTTATCATCAGTTTTAAATGAAATCGTACCGTCTCATGAAATTACTTCTAACGGTTTCCGTAAATGAGAAATCCTGCTTGATGCACATAGACTAAAAATCTAGAGTTTCGAATTGTGTAGATATATTGAAGAAAAATACGATTGATGGTACAGGTACTTCACAGATCAATGAACCAGAATACCGAGTTAGCTTCGTTGGGAAAAGTTTTAAATCTTGCCATAGCGTTCAGTTTGATTAATTATTTACTGTATACATNTCTATTTCTATTCCTACCTACTCATTTGTTGTAAGTGTGATATAGATATCTGTTTATATTCGAATTGATACTAGCCTGTCGGGGGTCGACTTATAATATAAGTCGAATTAGGCATCTCATGGATATAATACTATTTTAGTTATTACAATGACACAGTGAGAAAAAATCAGAGCTTTTTTTCAGATAATCTTTATTTTTATGAGTGCTCATCCAATCACTGTTATTGCATGTGATATCGGTGGTGTAATCAGAAATGTGCAGAATGATGAACCAATTGAAAATGCTGTGGAATCCGTGATCAAATTAGCACAAAATCCATTGAATAGAGTGATATTCATATCTAAATGCAAAGATAATTATAAACAAAGCTCAAATATGTTTCTTGAAAGACACAATTTATCTCATATTCCAACATATTACTGTTTAGAATATGGAGATAAAATCAATATTGCTGATAATAACCATGTTAATATTATGATTGATGATAGAATGCAAATTTTAAGTACTTTTCCATCTTCAATTGTTAAAATATGGTTTTGTTCGGATATAAAAAAGATTGAAGGTGCCAGAAAATTCCAACCAGATTTTTTCGATTCTGTTAGAATTGCTCGAAGTTGGACAGATGTAATGGAAATAATTGAAGAAACACAAATGTAATCTATTCACTATTGTTTTATCAAACACAATTATGAGTGATCATATTTTATATTATTCCTTGATAAAATAAAAACATTTTCAAATGATCTGAAATAAACCTTAAACAGAAAAATGAGTAATCTACAATGAATATCACTGTTTCGGTTTTATTCGTATACTTCAACTCCACAAGTTTAATCTGCCATGACGCGTTGTCGACTAACTTTCGCAATCTTATCAGATGATTTATACTCTCATATTTGGAGAAATTTGGACAATCAGTAACGAATTCGTATTCACGTGTATATCGGTGAGAATAACGGATTTCGAACTTACTACATCAAAATGAAAATCTAAAACTGATTAAAAACCATTTAAAATGACTTTTAAATGAACTAAAGTTTGTTATACAATTAATTCGATTTTTATAGGAAGATCGAAATTGGTGATGTATAAAGCCTTCAATGGATTAAAACATCACTCGGGAGTAAATTATGTAGAACAACACATTAGAAGGCCCCCTTTTTTTTGAAAATACACCAATCAATCTTTTTGCTTCTCCTGTCTGTGAGTGTTTTAAGATCACGCCAAATAATGTTTTCTTTGTCACATTTGAAATAGTTTGTTCTTAAATAAGATCTAATGTACTTTACGGACCTATGTGTAAATTAGTAGTGTAGTCAAAGACCGCCGGGAGAATTGGCCGGGTTGTACTGGTTGTGAAGAGAATTCTATATTTTTCTTGAAAATGTATAGTTGTTAGTGCGATACTGTTTTGTAAGTTCATAAGAAGAAACAAATTATTCATGAAATCAAACTCATTCATTATAATTGTCTGTGTACACCTTCGTCGATTTTAAAGAGCAAGAATCGATGACACGACGAGAAGGTCTAGTGAGTGTGTCGTGCACTATCGTGAACAAAACTACGAATTTGAACAGAACATAATAAATGATCCTGGTCTATCATTTCATTCAGGAATTTAGTCAAAATTAGTAAATGGAATATTGTTGATAAAATTGTGAATAATAATTAATTCAATAGCTGGTTGTGCTACAAGACTATTTGCACATTGAGCAATGAGATGCAGTGGTCAATCTTCGCTTTTACCGAAAACATCATTAACATCTGCTCAAAATTGACGTAATAAGCGAATAGAAGGTAATCTTGTGAAATTAAAACAAAAACGAATTCAGTTTTGAAAATTACAATTCAAATAATAATATAAATATCTGAATTGTTGTCCTGTTTCTTCCTAAGAATAAATCGGTCATTTTTGTGCAAAGTTTTTGATTGAATCAACTAGAAACAAAGTCATTCACATACCAAATTTTTCTTTTTGTAAAAATCAACTTACACAAACGATAGTATATAAAATCTCTGGGCAATGCATCGGGCAAAAGTTTATATTTTGGTCAAATACCCGATACATAGTAATTACTAATGAATCAACTAGTACTATTCCATCATGTTTCCATATATTTAATAAATCGCCAGACCATTTAAAACATTGAAATTGAAACGGCAGTGATTTATGACACTCATGAAGAATTATTTGACAAGAATGTAAACGTAATTTCAAACTATGATGAAATAAACTTCTTTGACGATAATATTCACATTGTTCATAAGTTAAATGACTGTATTTCATATCATCTTTATATTTATGAAATAGTCATTCATTGTCGAGTACGTATAGCATGTAATCGCATACCATCATCATCTGAGATTTGTTTTTCAATTTAAGTTTGTGAAAAGAAATAAAATGTTTCTTCATTTTTATGATCATTATAAAAATAGGATTAAGTGTATATTGTCAAGCTAAATGTGTTAAATGGAGGAGAGAGTAGATGAATCAGCATTAATAAGACTTTATATAATGTATTGGCAACCAATCGATGAATGTCTTTACGTTTCGTCAATGTACTTCAATCAGATGCATTTTTAGATATGACAAGTGCACGAACATTATTTACTATTGAATGTTACTCGAGAAAAATTATATCAGCAAATATTCCTATTTTCTAGATAAAATGAAATACTTCTTCTTCGCCTAACACACAGTTCAAGGTCATAGTCTTCATTTGCTTCAATTAGAAGAAATACAATAAAAAAAATAATACTATTCAGTCAGCAAGAACAACAATACAGCTTTACAGCGATCGATGCAAAAAATATAGAAGCCATACGAATATACATCTTGGTGGTCAAAATGTGATTCGATGGAATTTGTTGTCACACAGACCATTGTGAAAAAAAAGGATGCCCAACGCTTAATTCAGCATTGAATAATATTACAGCAGCCGGTGTTTGGATTTTAGGTCAAGCATTGGGTAATAATTATCGATTGAAATCATTAGCTCTTCATGGTAATCAAATCGGTGATGAAGGTCTTTCTTTTCTTACAAATAACAAGCATATCAATACTCTCAACACTGGGAATAATAAAATTACCGACGAAGGTATAAGGCATCTTAGTCAAATGATAAAATCAAATCCATCGTCAACTAATCTATGGTTTTGCAAAAATAGAACAGGCGAGGTTGATGTTCGAATGATAATACGACTGTTCGATTTTTGTCTTTTAATGAAAACATGTTACTTATTGGTGAAAGTATGAAAGATCGTTAATTTATCTTATTGTAATTTCTCTCCAAGAAGCAAAGAACGACTCATGCAAGCATATCAATAAAGACCATGTATAAAACTAGATATTAGATAAGAAAAACAAGTTATACGGCGCAGAAAGCAAGAGAAAACACATGTTAATACGCTATTTAATCATCCATAACGTAATCTATTCGTTCGTGACGACGAAAATATTCTCTACTACTCTTACTCAGCAGTTTTTTCGCTTGAAGAGACAGAACTGCTTAAATACATATGAGTTGTCAATTCGATTGAGATAGTGTAAACACAACGATAGAAACGCCTAAAGTCAATGGAAATGAGCAAGAGATCATCTCAATTAACAAAGAGCAATCTTGAAATATTTTCTATTGTATGGCTCGATACTTCCGTCAATCTTATTCAAGAAAATCTTGATGTTCAACAACGAATTCGTGCAACAATCAATCATTTGGAAATATTTTCTACGAGGGACGAATGTGAGCAATATATTCGATCTGTACATTTCGACGATCAGATCATTTTCATTGTCGACCGTCAATCTAGTCAAGACATTGTGCCTGACATTCATCAATTGCCACAAATTTCCTCCATATATATCTACTGTTTAGATAAGCAAAAATACGACCCATGGACGAAGTCATTCTCCAAAGTGAATATGATTTAATGAAATTGAACAGAGGTTTTTTGTTATAATTTAGGTTTTAGATCAAAAACGTTATTGCACATGTGGATGAATTGATCGAACAAATTCAGTTAGATCAAATTAAACGAGTTCATAATAGACTTAACGAAACGCTTTCGATTGATTTTTTTCACGCAAATGAGAGTTCAGAGCAATCGAGTACGACGCTAAACGGTCAATTTATTCATTCTCAACTTTTGATAAATTGTCTTCTTCGAATGAAATTAACGATAAATGATAAAAATGAGCTTATTTCGTTGTGTAAAGAAGAATACAACGGTAATCCAAGACAATTATCTATTGTCGGTGAATTTGAAACGAATTATTCACCTGATCGGGCTGTATGGTGGTATACAAGAGATTCATTTCTATACAAAGTTTTCAACAAAGCTCTTCGAACGCAAAATATTGATGTACTTTTTCTCTTTCGATTCTTTCTTCGCGATCTTGAACTGCAACTGAAGCAGTACAAATGTTCATCCACAATTCGTGTCTATCGAGGTCAACTCATATCGAAAAACGAGCTAAACAAGCTGAAAGCTTCGATCGGACAATTCATTTCAATGAACTCATTTCTATCAACAACTATCGATCGTGATGTAGCGCTCTTCTTTATTGGTGATACTCATTCCTTAGACGATGAACTCGAGCCAATTTTATTCGAGATTGATGTTGACCCCCGACCTGATGGCACCAAACCAGTTGCTGACATAACATCGCTCAGTTACTTTCGTGCCGAACAGGAGGTACTCATTATGCTCGGATCGATTTTTCGTCTTACTGATCTACATCAAGATGAGAACGAAATATGGATCGGTCAGATGACGCTATGTAGCGATAATGATCATCACTTGAATCAAGTGTTTGAATTTATGAAGGATGAATATGGAACTGGAGAGACTGATCTTCTTTCATTTGGTCATAAACTAAAAGACATGGGCAGATTTGACGACGCGGGCAAATACTATCGTCGATTGCTCAATGAACTACCGTGTGATCATAAAGATGTTCCACGCTGTTATCACAACCTCGGAAATATGGCATTTCAAAAAGGAGATTATGATTCCAGTCTCCAATGGTATAATAAGTCGCTCGAGATTTGGAATCGAACACTAGAGGCGAATGATCCTCTTCTAGCGACGAGCTACAATAATATTGGTCTTGTATACGATGACCAAAATGATTCGAAGAAGGCACTTGAAATGTATGAGAAAGCATTGCAGATTTGGAAGCAAAAGTTTGGTGAGAACCATGCTAATGTAGCCAAATGTTACAATAACATAGGTGTCATCTATCGAAAAGAGAAGAATTATCATACGGCACTTAATTATTATCAAAAGGCACTAACTATCCTGCAGAAACTTCTTCCCGTCGATCATCCAGATTTAGGCTCACCACATAGTTGTATTGCCAATATTTATTATTATATAGGCGAATATGACCTTGCCTTACACTACCATGAGCAAGCACACAGAATCAAATTGAAAACTCTCCCTTCTCAACATTCCTCGATTGCAAATACACTTGAGAATATTGGACTTGTTTACGAATACAAGGCTGACCTACAACGTTCTCTGTCGTATTATAAAAATGCATCCGACATGTTTCATCATACACTGCCGTCTACACATCCAAGCGTCATTAAAGTTGAGCAAAGTGTAAATCGCATTCTTTCGAAAATAGCGTCAGAGGGTGCTCTACACGAATAACAAGGGCCCATTGTGAAAATTAGCATGCACTTCAATCGAACCTCGTCCACGCCTAATCTTTCGAACAAAAGAACGGTTAATTGAAATCAGACATGAATAAATCCGTTTCTACGAAAGTATTAATCAAGCTGATACATATTTTTCTAGAAAGCATACCAAATGACGTAGTCAACCGAGAAAAAGAGAAAATACCAACTAAACAGTGCAAGAGCATAGAGATTATCCGTTTATCCTTTTTAGGATAAGGATAATAAGCGTATTTCTTCACCATTATCTCAAGTCTCGATAGAGTTTTGTTGAAAATTTTGTGATTTTAACGAACAAATAATTTTTCCTTAACATTCTCATCACACTGACAATAAGGATGATTTTTAGTAATATAACGATAACGATAACCACGACCGTCACGTCCATGCTGGATAAAACAAGTATCATAGCCTTGCCCACACTCACAGTCCATATAAGAAGTAATATGACCCCCATGATATTCACGCTGGCGATCATAGTAATAACCGAAATGAGCTGTACATGTGGAACCTTGACGTTCTTGGAAACGCTCCGTATATTCGCCGTCGTCCCAACGCTGGCGATCTTCTTCATCCCATTCATTTTCATTTACTATCCACTCCCAGGTTCTTCGGTCACCAATATAGTACCAATCACGACATTTACTGCAAACATTACACGCACGACCTCGGCAGCTCAGCTGACCATAGGTACCTGCGGTTTTAAATTCTAAATAAGAAGTAGTGTGAACCTAATCCACTGGATACGATTTCATTTGATCATATCCTCGAGCAAGTGAAATGCTTACCCGTAACACATGAATGATCAAGCACAGTGTTAATCTTAGCTTCTAGTTCGTTTAATTCATCAATACAATAATCGAATTTCTTTGTTGTTTTCAATGTGACTATTTGTTGTTTAAATAGTTCGACATCAGCTGATAATTTATCGATTCTTTCTACTGATTGATCATCGTATTCATGTCGAAGGAATTGTGTTATCTTTTCGATTAAAGTCTTATATTCTGTAGTTGATGGCTTTTTGCGTTGTTCGATCTCACGGACTTTGGTTTTTAAAGTTTCTTGATATTTACTGATAATTTTCCGTAAATTTTTAAAAACTTTTGTAATCTTGCCTATATCAGCGTTTTCATCATCGCGCATCAATGCATTCATTTCCTCTATTTTTCGATGCAGTTCTCCTAACTTATTCTACAAGATAACTTCGTTTCAGAGCATTCGGATAACTGTAATACAGAACTCACTTTTCGGATTGTTTCAGATTCGATATCATCGAATGAATCAGCTTTTTTGTGTTTTTTTGAACGATGATCATTCGATGCTTCTATTTCATCGTAAGAAAGTTCGCTTTTCTTACATAATTGGGATAAAATCATAGAATTCTCACACGACAAACAACCTGAATAGCAAATCCAAAAATTTTATAAAAGGCTCACACAGCACCTCTATATAATATAATTATTACAAAAATCTCCACACTATCTTGAAAATTGCTTTCTCACATTGAAGATAAACTGATAATGCGAGATTATTTTTTGGGTTCTGTCGAGTTATTCCATTATATAAACTCAGTAAACAGAGTGAATCGTCACGTTAAAGATGGCATTTGAAAAACTAAGTTATCAAAGTCAATGTTCTTTTTGATTTCCTTCGTTTTCGTTCATCCAAAAATTAAAAACTTCATTTGCAACGTATTGAAACATATCATCAATGTGAAGAACTTTTCTAAACTTAATTTCTAATGTAAAACAATATATTTTCCTATGCCATTTCCTACAGTTCTTTTTCAACAATGACTCATACATAGCAACAAAGTATGACGCGTTCAATTACAATTTCTTTTTTTTTCAGATATGTGTCAGTGTATCCACTTCACATTGAAGAAAGAAAAGATAATAACAAAACAGAATTTGTTTCCAGAAATTAGTCGCACCACCGATTATCATAGTACGGATTCAGCGACAATACGTGTCGGTGTAATTCCAATCACATTGTCTGTTCTTTGACGACAGCATTTTCGCACAATTCGTCCGGTCAGATCAGGAAAGAAGCCGAGCCACACCCATGGGAAAAAGAAATAAATGATATAAATGAGATCACTGAAGTAATTTTGCTGAATATAATTAAGGAAAGTTGGATCGACAAGAACATTGACAATATATACCAGAAGAAACGGTGTCCATCCGACTAGATAAAGTGCTGAAACAGACAATAACTGTCTTAACATGCGTCGTTGCTGACGCCATCTGCTCAATTGTCGCACACGACGTTTCTGTAGAAACACTCGTGCAATCAAAACTGTATTAGATATAATGTCAATCGCAACTGGAACACCGTTGTTCATCACGAGATCGAACGTACCAAGAAAACTGCCATACATCAAATAACAATTAGCAAAACCGCATACTCGACTGCTGAAATCCCATTGAGTATTGTTACATGGATACAAAAGAACAGCGTATATGTAGAACACTGTTGGATAAACAATGCAGAATAAAAGTGGCAGATAATGTAGTAAATGACATATCCAACGTTTTCGTAGAATATGTTGATGAAAAATAAATATATGGCGTTGAAGAGATATGATAGCTAAAAGATACTCACTTGATACATAGATAATATATTCAAAGAATGTCCACCATATACAATGGCTTGCAACAGGTGGATTTACATATCCAGATATGTAGAAATTAAGGCTGAGTGGAATATCGAACACAAGTTGGACAGAATTGACGATGAGCAAAATGAATAATCCATGATTTTGCGGAGCTCTGATAAAAGTGCGATGTTTTGTCAAGTGAAAAAAGATTAGAATTGTCACCATGATTGATGAAATTTGTAATAAGAAGAATATAGTAAATTTGATACGATAGAAGGTGAATTTACTGTGTCCAATCGATTCCAACTCGGTAATGTTCATGTTTCTGATTAATAGAATATAACATAGGGGTTTATTTAGTTCTTCGAATGATGCAAGTTCATACAACATGTTTAATTTTCTCTTTTTACTGATTACTTGCTCTTGTTTCATATTAAAACTTGATTTTGACAAATTCAACAACGGAAAAGAATTTTTTACTTCATTACACGTAATTTCTTCACGTTAAACAAACGGAAATAGCTACAATATAGATCTATTCAGTAACTTACGTGTTAACATAATAGAAAAATTAGGTTAGTTTTCGTCACATTAGACACACTGAACTCGGACAAGATTCAATTTCTAACGTAAGGATAATTGACGGATAGGGTGAAAGATTTTATCAATCTACCCATAAAAGCTGTGTTCTCGGAAACTTCATTTGTATTTCTAAGATTTCAATAATAAAGAAACTAGAGAATGGAGATAAATAGAGTGATACTACTGATCTTTTTCTCATCAAACATGAAATTCGCTGCATATTACGCGCCAATCGATATATAGACATAACTTACTTTTAAAAAATTTAATATACTTTTTTTGTTTGATATTGAAAAAAAAGCCTGTTAATAGTTGTGAGTGTATTTTCTCGTCTTTTTTTTTCTTGTGGACTCACATGTTTTGTTTTGTTTTGTTTTCTTTCCTTCATCACAGCAAATATACAGTGAGAATGAATATTTAATGAGAGAGACTTGTCATGATCATGTTACCCAGATATTACGTGAGAATATTCCATATTTCATATAACATAAGACGTAAGAAAATTTTTCAATGCATAGATATTATGCTATTCGATGCAAATCAATACTAGAATCAATGCAATCAAAATGGGAGCAACAATGACAACAATTTTTTTTCCAGATGAAGAATTTGAACGCAATGATGTTATACAGCTAGGACATAATGAATGAGATCCTATAAGTATATGAGGGTGAGGGTGTCAGTGAAGAGCAGTGTCTGCATTTTCACCCTCATCGACGTCCTTGTCTACATACAAACTCTCAAATGTTGACTCAACAATAAAATTTCGTCGAAAAATACTGAATTCAACCATCGTTCTGAAAGAGACAAGAGTACAAGTAAAAAAGAACATGAATATTTAAGGACGAGCAATCCTTATCTACCATTGCAGAACGTATTTAGTGAATTCTTTTATTGTTCTAACTCATATATCTTTTTCTCTAGTTTACATAACAATACTTTTACAAAGTAATAAGAAAGTTATTATCGATTCTTATATGGCATTCAAAACAACATCGTTACAATTACCGATTCCTGTGTATTCTAATGTTCAAACTACTATTCCGATTGAAAATGAAAATAAAGAAAGTACAACTCTTCTTTGGGTATATCCTAACACCGGTTTTCATCAAGACACTGAACAAACAAGAACATGTCTACGAAAAATTAATGATTTCGTTGTCTTTCATACTGAACTCGAAGTGTGCATTGCATTTATTGAATCGATAAAAGACGAAAAAATACTGTTGGTTACCTCAGGTTCCAGTGCAACTTCACTTCTACCACGTGTGATACATCTGCGCCAAATCGATTCCATTTTTGTTTTCTGCATCCAAAAGGCTAAATATGAATACTTACTCAATGACTTTTCAAAGATTATTGGTATTTATATCAAACTTGATGAATTATGTCGATCTATCAAAGAACAAGTAAATCTTGTCGATAAACAAATGGAAGCATTTAGCTATTTTGATTATCATCAAAAATCAACAAAAGATCTAACGAAAGAATCAGGTGCATTTCTTTGGTTTCAATTGTTTAATTATGCTATTTTACGTTTACCACGAAATGAACAAGCCAAAAAGCAGATGATTACAATATGTCGACAATACTATCGCGGCAATACTGGCGAACTCAAATTGATTGATCAGTTCGATCGCGAATATCAACCAACAGAAGCTATTCGATGGTATTCCAAACAATCATTTATCTATAAACTAGTAAATAAAGCATTAAGAAGTGAAAATGTTGACCAGTTACATACATTTCGCTTTTATATTGGTGATCTTTCAGAAAGTTTAGCAGTCGAACATAAAAAATGTTCTCCTCAGGCGAAAAGGTACTAACTGTCTATCGTGGTGTTCAATTGGCAAGAGAAGAATTTAATAAATTGAAAGATAATTAAGGTCAACTCATTTCAACCAATGGATATTTATCAACGAGTCGACGAAAATCACAAGCCATTGAATTTGCATTACAACCTACGAAACGAACAGATATCGTACGTGTTCTTTTTGAAATTGAATGTGATATACAACAATTAGGTGATCGTGTCATATTTGCCGATATTGCAAAATATAGTGATTATCCTGATGAACAAGAAGTTTTATTCGATATGAATGCAGCATTTCGAATAAACAGCATTCAACGTGAATCACAGTTCTGGTTAGTCAAAATGAATGCATCAAATCGTGGCCAAATGATCGCGAAACATTATATCGAAGAAACAGAAGAGAAAAGTATTGCAATTATATTTGGACGATTAATGTGTAATTTAGGGCAATATGATAAATCAATTAGATACTTTGAGCAATTAATGAACGATCCGAATGATGAAGATCTCGCCTGGATTGAGTTCAATATCGGAAGAGGTTTCGATTTTAAAAATGATTGGAACGTGTCTCGAAAATTCTATGAAAGTGCATATCGACGAATGGTAAAATCAAATCCACCACGTTTCAAAGATTCAGCCTATGTGCTTAATAATATCGGTATTAGTCTTCGTTGTCAAGGCAAATACAATGAAGCTCTCGACTATTATCGACGTGGATTAAAATCACTACAAAAATTTTATCCCTCTGGACACAAAGATATTGCACTAATTCTTAATAATATCGGAGACATTTTCTATTTACAAGGAGAATATTCTAAAGCTCTCGACTCATATGAGCAAGCACTAAAAATGCACCAAAAGCTGTATCCGACTGGTCATGCGAATATTGCTATTAGTTTGAGCAATATTGGTGATATTTTTTGTAACAAAGACAAATATGATGAAGCATTAATCTATTATCAACAAGCGCTCGAAATGCAAAAGAAATATTATCCTTCTGGCCATGTTAAAATTGCGACGAGTCTTAATCGCATAGGTTCTATTCTTTATCATAAAGGAAAATATGACGAAGCAATCGTATATTTCCAACAAGCATTGAGTATACAAGAGAAAACATATTCATCTGGACATATTGACACCACTACTAGTCTCAATAACATCGGTGATGCTCTTCAAAGACAAGGCAAATATGACGAAGCTCTTGTTTACTACCAGCGAGCGCTTGAAATGCAACAGAAAATATATATTTCTGATCATGTTGACATTGCTTCCAGTTTCAACAATATTGGTAACGTGTTTTATGAAAAAGGTGAATATGATGAAGCCCTGAAATACTATCACAAAGCGTTAAACATGCAGCAGAAATGAAATCCGACCGACCATCCTGATATTGCTACTACTCTTAATTTCATTGGATCAACTCTTCATGAGCAGGGGCAGTACGATGAAGCCCTTGAATATCATAAACGAGCGCTGAAATTGCAAGAAAAGTTTTATTCTTCCGATCATGTAAATATAGCTGATAATGTATATCGAGTTGCTCGAACACTTGCGAGCTTAGGAAAGTATGATAAGGCACTAGATTATTATCGACGTGCGCTTAAAATACTAGAAAAGATTTTTCCATTAGGTCATGTTGACATTGCTCATAATCTAAACGGTGTTGGTACTATTCTCCAAAATCAAGGAAAATACGATGAAGCTCTTCACCGCTATAAACGAGCATTGGATATGCAACGGATGATCTACCCTTCCGGTCATGTAGATATGGCGTGGACTCTAAATTCGATTGGTACAGTTTTTAATAGTCAAGGAAAATATGCTGAAGCATTGGATTATAAACAGCAAGCACTCAAAGTGCGTGAGAAGAATTATCCATTTGGTCACGCCGACACTGCTATTAGCCTTGATGAAGTCGGTAGTACTCTTCGTTGTCAAAACAAAGATGACGAAGCTCTTGAATACTTCGAACGAGCGCTTAAAATGCGGGAGAATCTTTATGAATCTGATCATGCTGATATTGCTACCAGCCTGTGCAATATTGCCAATATTTTGTATAGCAAGGGAGAGTACGATGAAGCAGCTGTTTACAATCATCGAGCTCTGCAAATATGAGAGAAAGTTTATTCCACTGATCATGTTGCTACTGCTGCCAGCCTAAACGCAATTGCTGAAATCCTCAACAAACAAGGAAAGTCTGATGAAGCACTAGACTATGCACAACGTGCCCTAAAAATGCTGCAGAACTGTTTTTCCTCCGATCACTCTGATATTGGTGATTGTCTAGGTATTATTGCTGGTATACTTGATGATCAAGATAAATACGATGACGCTCTCAAGTATTATCACAAAGCACTTAAAATGAGACAACGAATCTACCCATCTCATCATCCTGATATTGCTAAAACTCTTGCTCTAATTGCTTGTACGCTTGTAAAACAGGAGCAGTGGGACGAGGCACTTCTGTATTTTCAACGTGCACTGAAAATACAAGAGAAGTTCTATTCATCGGCTCATGAAGAAATTGCAGCAGCTCTGCAAGGAATTGGTCTTATTTTAAATGCTCAAGAAAAGTATGATAAAGCCCTTGAGCACTATCAGAGATTGGCAAAAATATATGAACAACTATATCCTTCTGGAAGTGTTGATGTTGCGGACAATTTCAATACCATTGGAACGATTTATGAACAAAAGCACAAGCCAAAAACAGCACTAGACTATTATCAGCGTGCATTAACTATGTACGACGAATTTGTACCTGTTGAGCATCCAAGTCGAAAAGAAGTTGAGCAGAATATTCACCGTGTCAGTGAAAACCAATGAATACAATAATCGTCTATGTCAAACTGATTCTTTTCTTAGAATGTGAATTGTTACATCCGTGATCATAAATAAAAATTGAATGTAATGAGATTGAGTTAAGAATTTTATATAGACGCATGAAGAGTTCTAATAAGAGCGAAATGTTATTCTCACTTCTAGAAGGATGAGTTTAAAAAACCGAAAAGCGATGTTTGTCTGTATTTCAGATTGAGTAATGCTTAATATTGTTCACTTGAGTGTGAGTATTCTCCTGTCTGTTTCTCTCACTCACCGTCGAATCAACGATTAAATGTTAATGCACAAGTTTAATATTGAAAGAGCACGCTAATATCGTTCGAGTCGTAGTTTGCAACGACAATATCTGGCTTGTTGTCACTGTTCAGATCCATTATTGAGACTGAGGTTGGCTTCTTGCCAGTTGAGTAAGTAGATTGATTAAAGTACATGCTGGAACCTGTCACAAAAAAAACCTCCTGTTTTCTTATCGACGTGTAAAAACAGTATCTGTTTATTACAGTTTTTAGAACTTCGAAGGCCTCATTTCATTTGGAATAGAAGTAGTGCACAGAATCAGCTCAATTCGTTCTGAACAATTCTCAATATGCAGGAACGATGCCAAGATCGCTTACTTCCCTTCCGTACATCTTTCGGTTGGGTTGTGTTTTACACAAAAAATTGTAATGATTTCATCTCATCTTCGTTTGCTTTACTCAAAAGTTGTCTCTAGCTAATACACTTGAATCGTCATCCATTAAAATTGTTTACAGATGGAATTTAGAACAAAAGCAATACAAGCTATCTAGGACATCACTCACTACTCGTAGTTAGGATGTCCGTTGTTGGTACTGCTGTTGTTGGCGAAACTCTTGTTAACTTTGCTACCGTGGACTCTATTAATATTTATGTAAAAAAGTACAAAATTTGTGAACATCTAGCTTGGATCGCAAAGTTATTTCAGGTGCATCAGAGCTATCTATTCGTCACTATTATGTAACTGAGGAAAGTTTTAGAATGAGGTGACAATTTGCAAGCTTTTTGTCCGTTCGAGAAACACTGTACAATTTGCATGGCGCGCACTCTACAATATAGAAAGGCTAATTCACTTAGTAAAACAAGATTGAAGTCGCTATAGAGACTATCTCTAAATAATCGTTAGGGTGTTCCGCTACAGTCTTTCGATTCCCTTTAACAACTTGTAACTACCTGTTTCTGCTTCTGTAGTTGGGTTAGTGCTGCTTATTGCTGATGCAATTCTCTGTTGTGGGGACGTGCACTTGCTGAAAGCATAAGTCACTCCAGCAGAGACTGGAACAACAGCGACGATTATGTAACAATGGCAACTATCACAGCTGTCTTCATTGTGGCTATTGATCTAAAGGCAAATATATTTGAAGCCTCGTGAGATATCATTAAACGAAAACATATGTTCACTACTGGCTTCTGTGGATGACTTACCTCATCCGTGATGAACGCTTTAGTAAATTACTTAAGATAGTGTCTGAGACCAGACTGAGTCATTCCATTGATGCAGAAGTCAATGCTTTTGTTATTTCCCTCTGTTCCTTACTTTAAACAAGAAAAATGTCATTCAACAACAAAAAAACTTGAGAAATGAAGTACATTGAAGCGGTAAGTAGCATGCTGGTATTTCACATGTCACATTTCGTAGATGGAATTTTGTCTTTCCTCCTTTAAGAAGTATCCACAGTCGTTTTGCTTATGTCAATAAAAACCAAATTAAACCAAAAATGCCTCTATGTATCATAAATTATAGATAGTTAACAACAAAAACAAACAATTTGACATGTCCTATGTCATACTACTTCGTCACCCTTTTGACGTTATTGTCTCCTTATTTAGTGAGAATATGCTGCCGTGTATACATCAAAACGTACCACCTTGAACAGAATCGATGATACACACAGAAATCGATCAGACAAAATTGTATACTAATCACTCTGTGAATATATAATATGTGTCATGTCTTTGCTTGTCTCCGTTTCTTCTTTTCAGTCTTCAATGGGATGCTATGTGATTACATATCACCTTTTGTTCATAGCACATGAAATATTTAGGACATGCATCGGAAACAAATTAATTCCTCAGTCTAGAAAAAATTAATTTGAATCTCAAAGCGTAGTTACCAATGAACTACACTCATTAGAAGTCCTGGATATCAATTCTTATTAAGAAACTACACTGTTTAGTCAAACGTTACTTTTTGCACACCGTAATGTAATACTAGTTGTGACTCTCAAAATATAAACATCTTCTCTCATTTATGTCAACATCGTGGTCTGTTCATGGCACATTTTCGAGATGTTGAAATCATTTAAAGAGTGTAACTATTTTTCTTCTACTTCTGCATTCACATTCTTTTGTCTTCATTTTGAAAGATAACATCTTTATTCTCTTTTTCCATCTTGCACTGACACGTGTGTGAAATGTGGAACAAAACTGAGTAAATAGACACATTCGTTAGAAAAATTTAACAGAGATAAGAAAAGCAACACGGTATTCTGACAGTTTTTTCTCGTCATTTCGAGTGTTTATAGTCAGAAAGAATTTTTGATTCTGAAGAACATTATGAACAGAAAAATGAAATCGTTCTTCATCTTGTTAATCACCATCAGTTTCCTTCTTCAAACTGATGCATACGCTAATATGCGATCCAAAAAGAAAACAGCACCAATTGGTCCAACATGTACTCAAGGTGGTCACAATCCATTACCTCCATCTGGAGTATGTCCTAAATCAAATACCACGTTTGTTTTTCCAGGTTGATTATATTCCCAGAACTCTCAATTATTTTTATATTTTGTGTTATATTTAAGGTATGCACGATGTTCCTGCCAGTCAAGCAGCTGTTCACCGTTGGGCGCCATGGTTTAGTGTCGAGTGGGTATTCTATTATGTTTTCGACCCAGCCAATATTCCACCTTATTTTCCTGTGCCTCAAGGAAATTTCACATTTACGAACGGACGAACGTATTTCGATGATACAACTGAGCGAGGTAGATGTATGAGAGAAGTATATGATACACGATGCATTCCGATCTTTTTCACGGATGTTTTATCAACAAACAATAATTATTCGTGTGATTTTCTCAATATTGCTTCAACACAAACAGCTTATTTAATCTTGCATGAAGATCGACCTAAAGGCGCGCCAGAATGTTGCATCATTGGTCAACCATTTCATCCACCATCCAGAAATTTTTCCGATAATTTATATATTAAAAAAGCTTCAACTATTGAAGTAAATTGAATAAAAGAATTGGATTTTTTGTTATATGTCTTTCTTCTTTAGGGTATTGATATCGATTGGAATGGTTTAACATTAGAAGATGCTGGCCTATTTCTTTATGGTTTTTATAATAAAACAACAGTCATTCCACATGATCCAATTCCTGCTTCACGTCCTTATGTATTTTATATGATGGGTGCACCACAAATAGCAACATGGATGTATCAAAAGTTTGGCGATTGGGATCCGATTAGTAAACCAGATCCACGTGTTTGGGAAATTCCTGAATCATGTCGGCAAGCAACTGTGTGTCCAGGATGGGGTTAAACTGGCATAAAATTCTTTTCAAACTATTTTATTCCTTCTTTTGAAATAAGCAACCTAATCGAGCATAATAAACAATCGTGAAAAGATGCGCGAGTGAATGATTGTGGCAACTGAGTACTCACCTACCCTTGTTAAAATATGAAAGTTTAAGAATGTTTTCAAAACTTTTTCAAGAATATTTTCATCCGGAAATAAACATTTCAAATTGAGTAAACAATGGCTAATCCACATGTAAATATGAGTCAAAGATATATTATCCAAATGAATAGTATATGAACATCGCGGGTTATGTGGTATTTTGACAATCTTCATCTCTGATAGTTTTTGCATCAGTCCATTTTTCGATCTGTATTTGTTTGATTAAGTTGCGATTAACTCGATATTCTTTGAAAATGAAAAGATAATATATAAAGATAGTTATCATGAGTTACAACAATTCAATTGTGATCGAACGCAAATGAATTCGTAAAACTTGGTAAAAAATGGAAAAGATTCTTCCATGATCTCAATTGACACGAAATATAGAAATCAAAGTGCTTTAATCGTTGCATTAATTGCAGCAATTTCTGTTGAAGTGGAGTGTCATTCATTGATAAGGAAAACCGTTGGAGGGGAATATCAGATGATTCTGCCGATGCTCTATTAGCTTTCCTTAGATAAATTCCAGTTACAATTCGATCCAAACTTTTTAAATTCGGACAATATTGAAGAATAAAATTGATTGTTTCAAATTTCCATAATTTTAAGGATGAATTTTGCAAATGAGGTCTTATATCCATTCCGGAAATATCATCCACCGTTTGAAAAGATTTGAATTTTGTGGATGAAGAGAACAGTGGTGTAAACGCTGTTCCTTCAACGATGTAATCAGCTTGATTATAAATTTCTTCAGCATAAATTTTGCTTTTCATTTGTAAGGATTGTAAATTATCTATTGTTAGAGTTAATTGAAACAAGGTGTTAAAACAATCTAAATGATTTGTTCGAACATGAATATTACTCATCAAATAATTTATAACGAAATATAATCTCATTGTATCGTTTGTTCAACGAGAAAAATGAATAAATCAGATCATTTGAGGATAAATAACTACATATTGTCAGAATTATTTCATTGGAGAGATGTTCAAAACGTGTTGCTTCAGTCATATTCACAGTTGTTCTACAGAAAAATTGCGTTTCTTCAGTTAGATTTTTTTATCATAAGAAAATAAATGGGCATAGAACACAAAGAAAAATGAAGTTGCTCGTTCTATCGCATATCAAAGCGAGTGCAACTAAAACCAGGATGACAGGCATTTGGAGCAAAAATTGACCCCCGAGTGAATTTCGCTATGTTCAAATATTAGGTGGCCGGAGGTCCATCGCGACTGAATTTATTAACGATTAGTCAATGTCGTACTTAATCCAGTAAGATTTCTTCGTCCGGAAAAAAGTTTTCTCAACGAATCTTTCAATGGTTCGGTGAAATAGAATAAAGTCGCAAGAAGTATTGGATACGGTAGTACGACGAACACATGTGAAATTCGATAATGATACAATGGAATATTTGTAAAAAATGATGTAAATATAAATGTTACATATGGGACACCAAAGATCAAAAGCATTGACACTAATATCACAATTTGCTTCACCATCTTTAATTCCCGTTGTGCGCGAAAGAAGACATTCACAGCTGTTGCAACATTGTTTATTGATTTGGCATATAATACTAATCGAAAATACAGAAATATAATGATCACTACAGGCACATTATATGTGCAAGATGATATCCAGATGACACCAAAATTGAAGCTAAATAAGATTTCGCAATTTTGATTGTAAACATTGTAAACAATGTAACCAGTCAGCAATGGAATTAGAGGAAATAATAGACAAAATACGAAGGATATACACATAAGAAACAATTGTGTTCGAATCAATTGCCAAAATAAATGAGTCGGATAAACAGCCGTCATGTATCGATGAAATGTTTGTAATGTAAATGAATGTATCATCATAGCACACGATGCAGGAGTAAAGTAACCTCGAAATAAGCACATCGAATTGTAATATTGTAATTGTTTAAGATCATTTTCTAATAGAAAGATGTACACCCAAGTCATGTTGATACTTGTAAGAAGTTGTGCAAAACATGTATAAGCAATAAACATCATCTGTAAGGTATGACAGGCTTTGTCGAAAATGATAAGAATTAGAAAAATACAATCGAAAATAATAGTGAGAATAAGAGCAAACATTGGTATGATATCTAATGGGATAAACCATGATTCGATAACGACTGGAGTTAAAGTATTATTGAGTTCAGTCATTACTAATTCTTCTGCCGATATGTTACCATTGAAATTTTGTCTTTCGAATAAAAAGAATGAACTTGAATAACTTCATTAATATTTTAAAAGAAGATTATTCTCCTTCCTGCGTTAAGACTCTTTTCATGACAGTAAAAGAAAAAGAAAGAAACTATACGACGTCAAAACTATTCTATTCAGCAAACGTAATATCACTGAAAAATATGTTGTCTAGGAACTCATCTAGAGGGTGAGTGTGTGAATATGTCTTCGACTGGTATATTCATTCAAATGAGCAGTGCACAGAGGATGACTTAGAGGTACATTAAATGAAGTAATTCATGTTGAAGGATCTTTAATTTAAATATTTTGATCGGATTGAAAAAGAATTATTTAGATTGCAAAACAAAACAATGATGAAGATTACACGATTTGATGAAAAGAAAAGTAATGAAATCGAAAGAGTTTTTTTTTACCGTTAAAGGCAAAGAACTTTTCTTATCGCCATCGTAAATCTAATTTTTATTATTAAGACGAATAGAAAGAGCATTTTATCCCACGAAAGATTTGCATCGTTCTAAGTGGATTTTGACGAAAAGAAAAGTTTTACATCAATTTCCTTTTTCAGCGTGTGTTGCTGAACAAAATGTCACTATTTTGTAGATTTTCACTTCGTTTTATCGTTGAATTATTTGAGAATTTGCAAAATGAAGCATTTTGGTGACATTGAATGTTCGACTAAAAGATTTCCGACAATTTATGATTGTTACATTGAGAAAAGCTTTGGAACTAGTTCAAACTCAAATTGTTGGGTGTAGCGTTCCGAACGATACTGGAAAGAAAATGAAGTTATTCCCAAATTTGAAACTGATTTACGTGTTCAAAGCGATCTTCTAAAAACATCCAAAAGGATCTTTTCAAGTGCATCTTGTTGAGATTAATTATTAACAAGAAGATCAGCAACCATATTAGCATCGGCAATAAATACGTAATTTACAAATTAAAACAATTCAGTAAGAAAAAAAAGTATGTTTTTTCTTTCGAAGAAATTAAATTCAAGAAATGGGAAACAAACGCGTGAGTTACATCGCAGAAGGATATTGATAGGGATGCACCAAATCCAATTCCAATCAAATCCAAATCTTAGATTTGACTGGAGTTGAGTGGAGTTGGATTTGGATTTGACCATCAAATCTTGTCAAAGCTTTAGACTTTCTGTACATTCGATAAGTTGCAGTGTTGGAATCAGTAAGAGTGAATCGAACGGTAATGTGGATTTGACAATAGGTATTTCACCTTTTTTGAGACGAAAATCGGGAAAGACTTGTAAAAAATGGCAAGTTTATTTCACTGTGATTCAGTGCTAGTTCGAGTAGAAATACAGTTCAATAAGATCGAAATTTAATTCTGACTAAATATGAGCCACATATCAGTCAAACCTGGTCAAATCCAAACCCAACTCTAGAATTGGATTTGGATTTGAATGGAATTGGATTTCGTGCATCCCTAGATATTGAAGATGAAGACAAATTAAATCAACTTTTATATCCTGTGGGAATTTGTGTTGATAAAAACCAAACTGTTTTTATTGCGGATTTCGTAACTGATCGAAGTGTTTCGATGGAAATAGAATGAAGAGAAAGGAACAATTGTTGTAGACAGAAATGAAAGCAGGGCCGAATGGATCATTTAAATTAAACAAAATCAACAGAAAATTCTCATTCAGAATATTTTCTGCTCGAATTGAACAAAAGTTAAATTTGGATTAGAGTTTGGAACATTAGTGGCCGGTGGAAATAATCTGAATCAATTGAATCATCTTGCAGAGATCTTTGTTGATGAGTTGGATCAAGTTTGTGTTGCCGATAGAGGAAATGATCGAATCTTGAGATTTAGTTTAATGATTGGAATGAACGAAAAAGACTTTTTTCATTCTATTTCCTTTTTTGCCATTTTTCTTATAAATTGATTTAAATCGCTGGTTCGTATACAGTAAATATATGAGCTTTTATCACCATTGAAACAGGTGAAAAACTATTTCTCTCCTCCACAGTCAATGTTCGTGTAATATGAATAGCAAAATCGTATGTAAGAAATTAGATAACAACTGCTTCTCGCCTATAAGACGCACACATACAACAAAGCCGGACTTAGTGATCTAATCTGATATTCTCATGAAACTGTTGAGAGAAAAAAAGTTACCAGATGGTTTATGGGTTTCATTTTGATTCTCTAAATCTTCAATTATGGTCATATTTAATAAATTTTCATGTAGTGTCTCAATATTGACCACGTTCAAATACTGTTCATAAGTTTCATGACTTTGATAAACATCAGAAAGGAAAAGTTAATATTTGTCTTTTATTTCTCATTCACACAGGAAAGAATATTGTGCATATGAATAATGAAAGGAAACTTGCTATGAGCAAATCTAATCTTCTGACGATCAGCAATCATCTCAAAATGGTCGTTATTGCAGTTCTGATGTTCCCCATCATGAGAATATCAGGTAGTCATCTGTATTATTCATCTAATCTGAGAATGAAGGAGCTTCTCTTACAGCAGTTTCATACAACCAACCGAAGTTTTGTTCAACAGTTGAATGGAATGCAGATGGACCTATTTTCGCATTTGATAAATCACCTGACGAAAGATACCTGGTTCTATGTATCGATACGAGCAATACGATATACATTGTTTCTGAAGAGAAAGCTGAAATTCTACTTTTGTTTCGGAATCATACTTCGTTCAAGTCAATCAGATATCCATATCAGGCAAAACTATCTTCGACATTCGTGATCATCAATGGTGATATGCACACAAGTTATGAGAACAGAAAAATCGAGAAATGGCTAGCGAGTACAAATGAATTCGTTCGAGTAATTGATACTAAATCAACTTGCTTTGATCTTTACATCGATATCGAGAATAATTTATATTGTTCGATGCTTCATGCGAATAAAGTTGCAAAGAAATCATTGGACGAAGTGAAAGTGACACTTGTATAGCTGGCACAACCTCTGTTGGTTTTGCTTCGCACCAACTGAATGGCCCGACAGGAATTTTTGTTGATACAAAGTTGGATTTATATGTGGCAGATCGTTTCAACGGTCGAATTCAATTGTTCCACTGGAACGAAATCAATGGGAAAACAGTGGTAGGCGCAAGCTCATCAGATATTATTATTTCGCTCTTTCATCCTTATTTAGTGACACTCGATTCGAAGAAATATCTATTTATTGTAGATCGCGGTAACAATTGTATAGTTGGATCAGAATCAAATCGATTTTGATGTTTACTTGAATGTGATAAGGAAACGAACACAATGCTCCATGGAACATCTAAACCGAAAAAACTGAGTTTCGATGTGTTTGGAAATTTATTTGTTTCTGACCGGGACGGTTCTCGAATACAAACATTTGATTTACAAATCGATTCTCGTGGTAAGCTTCGCAAAATTCAAGAAAATATTTCAAGACGAAGAACAAGCTCTGTTGTTAATAAAAAAAATGTTGGCATAGATTTAGTGGCGTAACCAGAAAAATGTGGGTGCCCGGGCGTCGCCCTGCACATTTTAGAAACTCCCTGACAATAGTAAAAATATATTCTATGGCTCACTCAACTCTTCCATTCTCTGTTCCCCTACAATTAAGACAGAGGCAAAACAATATATTTTATTATTCTTTTAAATAAGGCCTAGCAAAAACAAGAAAGAGAAAAACTCAACAGTGCCTATTTCTGCATTATTCAATTGTTTCTATGTTATATAGAGAAAATATCAATAATCTTTTCCTAATTGATACAAACATCTTTTTCAGATGCAAATACTGATAAATCAGTAACTTTGAGCCTCCTGTCCCGCATGCTACTATCCAAAACACTTCGGATTACCTTAATTCTTCTGAAAGTTCGTTCGGTTGTAGTAGACACTGTTAGAACTGTCATAGCTTTAATAAGAAGTAATATAATAATTAGAAATGCATGTTGTATTGGAAATATTTCACGATACAAACTAATCACTTCTGTGAATTTTGATGGTTACAAGGTTGTCCTCCATTCACTACTTGTGGTTCAGTATTTAAAGATAAATTTCACTTTTTAATTTTGTTCATGAAGTTTCCATTTCTTATATTTCGAAAAATGTCGAGCTATTAGGTGCTAATGATGAAATACAATGAAGATTTTCACTATTTCTTCTGCAAAAGTGACTATTCATCGCAAGTAGAATTCAGTCAATTATTAAATACTGATAGATTAAATTTATTTCTATTATTAATTTCTTCGCCTTGCTCGATAAAATATAATCGGACTCTTAATTATCGTAATAGAAATTTTTTCAGTTTCGCTTTTTTTCAATTCAGTATATAAATATCAATCAAGTTTATATTTACTAGAGAAATTGATAATGTCATCATGTATCTTAGAAAGCTCCACTTCATGACTATATTCATTAGTCTGAGTAATTATAACATTAATCAAAATATGAGGATGTGTCAAAATTGACATATTTAGCTAGATTATACTGTAAATATCATTCATAAACTGTTTTTAAGAATTATTGAACATATCAAAAAGATCAACGCTTCACTACCAATTATTACTTGATTTTTCTCGGTGCCCGGGCTAGCCCGCCCCTGGTTACGCCACTACATAGATTGAAAATAGCACGGATCATGAGTAATTATCATCTTGGTTTGTTCTAGTGCATGTTTCGCCCACAATTCAGGCAGGGTATTCTTCGGTTTTAAAAAATGATCATCCATTATTCTCACGTATTTTGTTCTATCCTCCAAACTATTGCTACGCAGCTATAGAAGTAGCTGTCAGCAAGACTGATGTTTATGTTCTCGCTGCTGACAGTATCATTGATCTTTATAGTCATGTATACAAAGATCATTTTCATCGATATAATACGCCAAAAAATCTAATTGCATGGTTTGGCAAATGTTGTAATAAAGATCAATTTAAATTCACGCTTGAACTGTAAACCAACACGAAATATGTACTGGTCGTAACCATGGAAATGAACTAACATGCACATGTTCGTAAAACGATCATCTTTGTAATAGTAGAATATGATTATGCACAACTTATGTTAAAGTATCTGACTGACACAATAGTTGATTTTATTTTCTCTAAATAGACGTTGAGTTACCTGTTAAATCAATCTACTCATCTGCATTCACAAAAGATCATCCAACATATAATCGAATTTCCTCTGTACAAATCAAGAAATTCTTTTGTGAAGTAATACAAATAAGCGTGGCTGAAAGTGGCTTTTATGCATTTTCTATCAACAGCATCATGGGTGGGTGGGTGAGGGTGTGGGTGGGGTGAAAACTTTTTATGATTGGAACCGATAGAGCTTGTCGAGTTGTACTTGGAACCAGTGTTGGTTTGATTGGAACCTACGCTGAAACGAATCCGCTCAATAAAATGTCGAATCCTGCCCGATGGTATCCTACGTATCAGTTCTGTCATTCTGCTTATTCTCGCAACACTCCGCTTTTGAAAGCTATTATTGACGAATAAAAACGTTTTTGAGTAAACAAAGACTTTTTGATAAGAGAAAAAAACGATGAATATAATAATGAACAATAACATGAGAATGTGGATCGAAGTAAGGATAGTTAACTATAGGGTAACCGAATTCATGTCTTCACTCTCACTCTCACACCATTTCATACGTCATATTCTTCGCAAGCGCATTGACTAACATTCTCACTCTAAAGATCCTCCTTAGTAATCTCATCAGTATGTATGGATTAGCTTTATATTGTTATAATATAAATGTGGAAACTTCGGATTTCATCCGAAAGTTATGTGTACTACAAAAAGTGTATGGAACCAATTACTTGCTCTGGATTAATATCTTCAAATCAAAAATACTATGAAGTATTTTTTTAATAAACGCAATTTGTTTTAACCATTGTCCATTCGAAAGGATTTGAGATGGAGACAGCTCATGTTTGAACTCGCTATCATCATATGCATATAACAGCCACTTTTCAATTAAACTCGATATTTATTGTTCACTGTTGAGCTAATGGACTTTGACAGATAAATCGAGTGTGATGAAGAGATAAAGTCTTCTACTAGTCTGTTTTGATATTAAGAAACAGACTTTTCATTTAGAAAAAATTTCCAAAAGAGTGGTTTTTGAATTTAATTTCGATAATACTATCAAGACTAATCAATTTGTGGGTCAAGTTCGAATAATCAGCGATTTAATTGAAAGCTCATCCTTTATAACTATGCAAAAATAAAGACTATTCCGTACGATTAGAAACAAGAGCTGAATATCCTGTTCGAGCATTCGATTCAGTCTATGCTCGGACACGTACGACTGGAGACGGAAATTGTTTATATAGTTCTCTTTCGATACTGAGTGTCGGTTCTGAGAAACTAACACATTCGATGAGATTGTTGGCAGTTTATGCAATGATAACTAATAGGAACTATTTCCAAAAACTTTGTAGCATACTAGGATACACCTTTGAAGAGCAGCTGGAAAAAACTGCCACACATACAATATGGGGAAGAGAAGTGCAAATTCAAGCTCTCTCTATCGCACTACGTCGTCCTATATATTCATATATAAAGTTTAACAATAATCCGGACCCAAAAAACACAGTTTGTTCCGTCAAATATTAATCTACACGAATTAATTCATCGATTTGATGAAGGGACAGCAGGTGGCCATTTAATATATCTTGGATATAAATACGACGGAAAGAAAATAGGACTTTGCATTTATTACAACGGTACACATTATGATGCTCGTTTGCCTTTTCAAGCTAATCCTCCTCAGTTTGTACCACATTTCGACTTAATAAACATGAGTTTGTAATATATAGAAGAATTCATTGCAGATATAGAAAATCGATCAACATAGATTTTGCGTTTAATCAAGTAGTTACTTGTGTGGAACTAACTCCTCGCCACGTCCTACGGGACCAAAGGAGGGCATCTGCAGGGCCTAAGGGGTGGATCCTCAATGCGCTCAAGGATGATTTGTTTCGAGACTTTGATAAGCAAAAGCTCGATGACATTGATTAAAGCAAAAGATTATCTGGGTGAACCTTACCCAACCCTACCTTTCCTCCTCTTTCTATCGGCTTCAACTTCACGTCGCCTTTTTTATATGTGTAGAAAATCTGGGACATTATTTTGTAAGTCAGTAGTAGCACAGCCGATCGGGCTCATCTTCGAATTTGTCTGCGACATTGACAATATACTGCTATCTCCTAAATTTCATGACAGTTGGATTATTCTTTCAGGAGTTATCGGATTAACGGCCAGACGGACCTACTGACCCGTTCTATAGTATACTCACTTTTTGAGTACACAAAAACCAGCATGCAAAGTTTGACAACCTTATCTGCCATAGAATCACTTGGATGATAACTCACGGACACCAACCTTATCCATCTCCTTGCGGGCTCCTTAACAATCCATCTACCCTTCCATATGCCCACAAAAGTAGTACGGAAGGTTTGGCGTACAGTCTTCACACGAAATCGCGTGGGTGAAATTGCATCCACACCATCCTTACCCACCCTCGTTACTGATCCACTAACTCTCTTTCGATGTTTCCCTACATTCACAGAAGTACTATGAAAGATTTCGTGATTTTTTCTGATGCAAAATCGCTTGGGTGAAATTCCACCCAGATCTCACCCAGGCCTACACCTTCACTGGCCAATCAGCATTTTTCTGGATCCAAAGAAACAGTACAGAAGGTTTCGTGGCCATAGCTGATACAAAAAGTNTAATATGGGAGCACCCAAGTTGCTCTGCTAAACACCGCGTAGTCAATCGAGGATCTTCTTCAATAAGCTGCTTTAAAACATCCATATCCACCTGTAGCGGTCTTCCGGTGTGAGGTAAATCGTCGAGTTCGAAGTTACCGTTCTTGAACCGATGAAACCAATGCTGCGCCGTACGGATGGAGAGTACATCCTTGCCTATCGTGCTACATATGTTGCTTTGCGCCCCAAACGGAATTCATGAAGCAGAAGCAGTCGGAGCTCTCTACGAGATATATTCATCTCTAATTCGTGATCAACATCCATGTCCATAGTTTTGTTGTTGTCCGAAAGATATTCGTACCCCCTATATATATCTTTAGTATGGAAACTTCTAGAACTTTCCCGACTGTTCTAAGAAATTTTCGAAAGAAACGCAAGAAATTTCTTACCAACCCAATAGATACGGATGATAAAGAAACAATAATATTAACGAAGCATAACACTCATTTTCGTTTGATAGTCGTATACTGGTTTCAAGCCGTAACTGATAACAAGAAATTTCATGTGTTCGAAACAAAATTTGTAATCAATGTGGCATTACTGATTGAATTACATCCAGCAGCACATTAAAACACTAACACTACTCATAAAAAAGTTCATTAAAAATTTTAACTATTTCAATTAAAGATTTTCTTTCGTGAATTCTTCGTTTTTGGTACATATTGACAATAAAGCCGGAAGTATAACATCCAGCCGACAAAAAATCTTCATATACCCTTTTCAAAAGGAATTTCCAAATAAAGTCAAACGTTATCATCAGTTTTAAATGAAATCGTACCGTCTAATGAAATTACTTCTAACGGTTTCCGTAAATGAGAAATCCTGCTTGATGCACATAGACTAAAAATCTAGAGTTTCGAATTGTGTAGATATATTGAAGAAAAATACGATTGATGGTACAGGTACTTCACAGATCAATGAACCAGAATAACGAGTTAGCTTCGTTCGGAAAGGTTTTAAATCTTCCCATAGCGTTCAGTTTGATTAATTATTTACTGTATACATGGGACATCGAAAAATTGTTGTTCAATTCTCCCACTAATAATCATAATTTCAATACCTACAAAAAATGAAACTTTGCATGTTCGAAATTTTTTTATCGCTTAGAAAACATTTAATTGTTTTCAGAAACTATCCTATTCTATTGTTGTTGCCAACTCCAATCAAGTTAAAATAGAAACTTAAGAAATTGAGCAACTTCGTTTTATTTATGATTACTGTACCAGATGCATGTTCAAATGAACAATCTATTAACCAACCTAGTCGATATAACGCATTACATGTTTTCCTATATAGGAGCAATGCAATCTACTTTATCCAATATCGCTGCAATATATAAAAATACCAACTTCATCACAATCTCCCATTTCACAGCTCACTTTTAGGGCTTAAATTCCATAATAGCAACAAACAACAATATTTATTTGTGAACATTGATTGAATATACATTTATTCAAGCCCGGAGAGATTCAACAGCGCGATATCACACGCGCTTGTGGACTAAGAGTCTCCTTCGGAAATTGTATTGCGTTGCTCACATGTTTTCCGATACAAAAACATCTGGACATCCGTATAAGAAGTCTTCACCTAATTTCCAATCTGAGAAATCGCAGTATAGGGGCATCAGAAAATTTTTTTGAACAGTTATTTATCTTGTCAAGAGATATAAAGGCAAATTTGAATTTCCGGGAAAACGCTATAACGCATCAAATCAAAAAAATTTTGCTAAAGAGTGTTCTTGACTCAATTTGGTGATTGTAAACGAAAATTGTCAAATTGTACGTAGTCCCAAGATGATCCAATTGCAGCCCATCCAGAAGAACTAGATGCATTCAATTCACATCGACCAACTGCATCACCATTAACATATCCTATTGAATAATCTTGTAAAACAACAAGTGTCAATGTATACCAAGTGCCAGCTACAATAGAAACCATTCCAGAAGCAACTGGATTTTTAATCTGCGTATTATTAGTTATTTGCCAGAATCCATTATTAGTTGTACTGACACTGAATACAATGCCAGGACTTCCAGTACCACAACCTCCTTGTGATACTCCTAAAGCAACGAAAGCAGTTCCATTTTTCTCAATCGTAACATCCACACTAACATTTAAAGGTTGTTTCCAACTAGAATTACCAATAATAGTATATGGATAGATTGCTTCATCGCACCAATTAATAGTTGTTTCAGGTACCATTTGTCTCATAGTTTTACCACGAGTGCTTGCTGTATCTATGATTTCCCATGAGCCTGTCTGATCAGAAAAATATGGTGCTTCACTGGATACCTGATGTTTGTCAAAATTATCTGCATATGGTAATGGAAATGGTTGAGATGGTGGAGCTTCGTAAGCACCTTTTGTACCGTTAATTGTTGAAAGAGTATAAAGTACACCAACTGGTAATTGAATTGTAAATTCTCCACTATCTAAAGTAACGATTCCTTTGTAGGTGAAGGCTTGATCTACATCCAATATATTGAGATCCGTGAAGAAAACATATAATTTAGTAATATGACTAAAAGAATTGTCGAGTTGGAAAGTTGCTGTTTGATTAGTTGTATTATAGTATACCGTACTCGAATGTGCACATTGAGAACGATCACGATCCATCGTTTCGATAATGATAGTCAATTGTTGACCAGTTGGATCGGTTAAAGAGACATAACTACCACCATTATCGAGCAATCCAACACCTGATTGATGTTTCAAAAAGGACCATCCCGCTTTGGTAAACTGTCCCCAATGTGCTGATACCCATAGAAGTCGTCCAATTTGATAATGTCCTGACCATGGTTCATTAGCACGTAGTATTCCAACACCACCCCATGGTAATCCATCATAGAATGAATTAATTAAATCCCAAGCAATAGTTGCAGTTAAATTCGCACGAACGTAATTTTGATTCAATGATCTTGCCCAACATAGAGAACCGGTATCATAATCGAGTGACATATCTTCACTTGACCATTGAATTTTGTCAAGAGCAGCACATTCTTTTGGTATAGATGAACCAACATAATGCGCTCCAATAACATCAACGGCAGCTAACCATTCAGGATCTTTAGCTAAAGTGTCGCAAAAATCCCACCATGAATCATGACCGACAATCTTTGTTTTGAGCCCAGCTGCAGCGATTGCTGCTTTGAGTGTGAGTGTATATCCTTTGTTCCAATCACGTTCATTCCAAATTCCTACGTAATCAATATCCAGATTGTAATATTTCTTTGCACCTAAAAGCCAATTTATAGTATATCTAACAGTACTATTAGTCCAAGGCGATTTTGTTCCTTCACCGACCCAACCAGGAAATCCCCAACTGAGAGCATATAAAGTGATGTTTGGATTTCTTCGTTTTGCTTCCACCATGGTATTCCATTCATAACCTCGTCGATAATTTTCATCATCAGCTGTATGCATATGAGAAGGTTCTGTTCCATCAGTTGATTGCACATCACCACCAATTTCAACTTTAAGTATATGTAACGAAGCACCAAACCCTGGTAAAAATAAATAATCCATTATTTGACTATACCATTTGCTTTCATAATCTGCAAGTAAACGTGTAACACAACCACCGCCACTCAATCCACCAACACCATCGAAACGTTTACTTAATCCCGTTGCTTTACTCACAGTATATGTGAATAATGCATCCGACATTGAAAAAAGTGCTACGAATACACTAACTATAAATACAGCTTTGACCAGTATCATTATCGTTGTTAATCTTTTTGAAAATATTCACTAAAATATACATCAAGTATTACCGGCAAAACTACTGTTACTTCTTACCTGTGATATCAAATATGAATACTTTATACAACGAATGAATTATTTAAATATAGAACTCGAAAAACATGAGTTGAAGGATAATATTGAGATAAATGTTTCATTACTGATAACAGGTACTAAGAACGGCACACAGTCTTGTGCGTACCTTTTTTTCCACATTTCAAAAAAGAAATGTAAGGATATAACAACGATAAACTATTATCGTTATATAATTTTGCATCTAAATCATATTTCAAGCCTTTTTAAAAGTTGAAAATTTTTACTTTCAATTATTATCACGTCCTTTTTCATTTTGATAACAATACGATCTGTCAACATTTTCTAAAATAATTCAAAATAAAAGTTATCGAATAGAAAAGAATTTTTCTGTCTTTCGAGGTTTTTCACATAGAATCGTACGAGACCATACATGGGTATAGAGAAACGATTCATGTGCTTAACGCGAGTTTTTGTTGTCGATATATTAATCGTTTTAATGATAATGTATTTGGAAATCAATTTGATTGAATACACAATTCTGTCGCCAGTAACAAACATTGGCAATGAACTATGTTGACCCATCGAATTTAATAAATGACTATTCACCTGCCGAGGATTCAAACTTTACCTTTAACCATCATCCCACAAGGTGTTAATAGTTCTACGATGTTGTGCAACTGTATAGAGTTCTCTTTTTGTTTGATGAAAGTCTAAACAATTCTAGTTATGAATAGAAATATCAACGTCCATATAATTCCTTGATTCGCACTTTGTATACATATACACTTCTAAGATATAATCATACGTGTTTATCAAATGCCTAAGGAAATCAAAGATCAAACTATCGCATAGACAAGATTAACATTTGCCAAATTCATCATTCTTAAAAAGCTCATCCCGTAACTAAAGGGTTAAATTTCTTTTTAAAGATTGCAACTAGAATTATCATTGTACAAACAGATCTAATAATAACATAAATTCAGTAAAGAAAAGACGATTTGAATTGACATTTCTATATGGTGATGTATATTTATTCTTTATGGTCTTTCAATAATAATTTTTATTATTGCAAGAGGAATTGAATTTGGTAATGATAAAACACCAAAATGGTCAACATCTGTTCTTACAGAATTTTTTGAATCGATTTTTTTAAACTCAACCAATCAAAGTAATTGTTTTGATATTTAAAGATCATTTGTCTGTCAATATTCTTTGCATTTTTTTATCGAAATTCAACGAATGATTAAAAAGCAATAGGTTTAATAACTTTTATGAGATCAAAGATGGATAATCCACTTGTTGATGGTTACGTCGAATTCACATGATTGAATAAAGAAAAAGAAAGGTGGTATTAGAAGTGTTTCTTCCTCGTCGTAATTTGAATATGATGCTACATCACGGCCTTAGTGCATCAGAGCTATCTATTCGTCACTACTATGTAATTGAGGAAAGTTTTAGAATGAGGTGACAATTTGCATGGCGCGTACTCTGCAATATAGAAAGGCTAATTTACTTAGTAAAACAAGATTGGAGTCGCTATAGAGATTATTTCTAAATAATCGTTTAGCGGCTCCGCTACAGTCTTTCGATTCTCTTTAACAACTTGTAACTACCTGTTTCTGCTTCTGTAGTTGGGTTAGTGCTGCTTATTGCCGATGCAATTCTCTGTTGTAGGGACGTGCATTTGCTGAGAGCATAAGTCACTCCAGCAGAGATTGTAACTATGGCAACTGTCTTCATCGTGGCTATTGATCTAAAGGCAAATATATTCGAAGCCTCGTGAGATATCGCATAACAACTCTTCGTACGCTTGCGAAGCAGCAGCAGCACCTTGAACGACCGTATTTACAGTAGTTTGATTATGAGACTGTTGTGTTTCAGAGATTGGATGGACTTCACCACTTTGAAACCATTGGCGTCCCCTCTGAAACTTGTTCTTCGCATTGTTGACACTGCGTCGTATCCATTTTTTATCTTGTCATATTTTTTCTTTATAGCCGTTGTTTTATCACAAAGTTGTTTCATCCTTCCAGTATTACTAAGAGTAGCACCGCACTTCGGTTCATCTTCCTCTTCCATAGGTTCATTAGTAGATTTCGAACTCATTGCTATCAACAGTTCATATCTGAATGAAACATATCCGCAATCAAAAAGTTGCGTTATACTTTATCCGACGCAGCGAGAGAGAAAAAGACATGATATAGACGGAAAGTGCCATAACATGCTCACGCTCAAATGCATTACAGAGCACGTTCGATACAGTATTTGTAGAATGCGGTAGGTGTTTTACATTAATACTTAAAAGTATCAATAGACTTGTTTTGAGAGAGTAGCTTTTTAGGCTTCAAATAAGACCGTGCTAAAGTTCAATATTTTATAGCCAATTTTTCGTCATACCATCGGGAATATATAAGTAAGAACACAATTTTACACGTCAAATCTCGCCGTAGATACTCATTCGTTTTGTATAACTTAGCATCATATCAATAACTATGGAGAATACAAATGTTATGAGAATAAACGCTTTGTATACATTACGAACTTCGATCGATGTACATGGATCAACGAAAATTTTTCAGATTGGCTTGACAAAACATTTAAAGCAGCAACTTGTTTATCAAAGAAGTTGACTTGAACTGGAAAATAACGATTTTTTCAACAAAGTCTTTAGGTTAATCTTGAATCTCCACTAACTGCACAAGCTATCAAAAACGATGATGATATATGATTGTTAAATAAATAAATCAGGAGAACAGGTTGCGTTTACGTTGCTTATACTGACGCAGCAAAATCTTAAACATATCAAACCACACTGATTCCAATGTCATCTGGAATCTCTGTCGTACGAATTAATCGTTTAAATTAAAAAGATGATACAAATTTTCTTTCTCCACTTAATCAATGACATGAAAATACTTATAGACGAATACTCTTCTTGTAATTCCTATAGAAATATCATGACAAAAAAAAACAGCTAAAGATGATTCATACTGAAATCTTTCTAGTCACCATCCTTTTTTGATCGCTGACCAACGAACATAAAGACAAAAAAATACTACAACTTATAATGAAAACAGTAGAGTAAGTATGCTAGTAATAAACGAAAACATATGTCCATTATTGATTTCTGTGGATAACCTACCTCATCCGTGATGAACGCTTTAGTAAATTACTTAAGACAGTGTCCGAGACTAGATTTAGTCATTCCATTGATGCAGAAGTCAATATTTTTGCTATTTCCTTCTATTCCTTAATCTAAAACAAGAAAAATGTCATTCAACGACAAAAAACTTGAGAAATGAAGTGCAGTGAAGCGGTAAGTAGGATGCTGGTATTTCAAATGCTACATTTCGTAGATGGAATTTTGCCTTTGCTCCTTTAAGAAGTATCCACACTCGTTTTGCGTATGTCAATAAAAACCAAGTTATATCAAAAGTGCTCCTATTGTATACATCAAAACGTGTACCATCTTGAACAGAATCGATGATACACACGGAAATCGATCAGACAAAATTGTACACTAATCACTCTCAATATATAAAATATGAATTCATAGCACACGAAATATCTAGGATATGCATTTATGCATAGGAAATAAATTAATTCCTCAGTCCAGAAAAAATTAATTTGAATCTCAAAGTGTAGTTACCAATGAACTACACTCATTAGAAGTCCTGGATATCAATTCTTATAAGAAACTACTAGTTGTGACTCTCAGAATGTAAACATCTTCTCTCATTTATGTTGGCACTATGGTCTGTTCATGGCACATTTTCGAGATGTTGAAACCATTTAAAGAGTGTAACTATTTTTCTTTTACTTCTGCACTCACATCCTTTTGTCTTCATTTTGAAAGATAACATCTTTATTCTCTTTTTCTATCTTGCACTGATACGTGTGTGAAATGTGGAGCAAAGCTGAGTAAATAGACACATTCGTTAGAAAAATTTAACAGAGATAAGAAAAGCAACAAAGTATTCTGACAGATTTTTCTCGTCATTTCGAGTGTTTATAGTCAGAAAAATGAAATCGTTCTTCATCTTGTTAATCACCACCAGTTTGCTTCTTCAAACTGATGCATACGCTAGTATGCGTTCTAAAAAGAAAACGGCACCAATTGGTCCAACATGTACTCAAGGTGGTCACAATCCGTTACCTCCATCTGGAGTATGTCCTCAATCAAATACCACGTTTGTTTTCCCAGGTTGATTATATTCCCAGAACTCTCAATTATTTTCATATTTTGTGTTATATTTAAGGTATGCACGATGTTCCTGCCAGTCAAGCGGCTGTTCACCGTTGGGCGCCGTGGTTTAGTGTCGAGTGGGTATTCTATTATGTTTTCGACCCAGACAATATTCCACCTTATTTTCCTGTGCCTCAAGGAAATTTCACATTTACTAACGGGCGAACTTATTTCGATGATACAACTGAGCGAGGTAGATGTATGAGAGAAGTATATGATACACGATGTATTCCGATCTTTTTCACGGATGTTTTATCAACAAACAATAATTATTCTTGTGATTTTCTCAATATTGCTTCAACACAAACAGCTTATTTAATCTTGCATGAAGATCGACCTAAAGGCGCCCCAGAATGTTGCATTATTGGTCAACCATTTCATCCACCATCCAGAAATTTTTCCGATAATTTATATATTAAAAAAGCTTCAACCATTGAAGTAAATCGAGTAAAAGAATTGGATCTTTTGTTATATGTCTCTCTTCTTTAGGGTATTGATATCGATTGGAATGGTTTAACATTAGAAGATGCTGGCCTATTTCTTTATGGTTTTTATAATAAAACAACAGTCATTCCTCATGATCCAATTCCTGCTTCACGTCCTTATGTATTTTATATGATGGGTGCGCCACAAATAGCAACATGGATGTATCAGAAGTTTGGCGATTGGGATCCGATTAGTAAACCAGATCCACGTGTTTGGGAAATTCCTGAATCATGTCGGCAAGCAACTGTGTGTCCAGGATGGAGTTAAAACTGGCATAAAATTCTTTTCAAACTGTTTTATTCTTTCCTTTTAAATACGCAATTTAATCGAGCATAATAAACAATCGTGAAAGGATGCGCGAGTCAATGATTGTGGCAACTGAGTATACTCACCCACTCTCGATCTGTATTTGTTTGATTAAGTTACGATTAAATCGATATTCTTTGAAAATGTAAAAATAACGTATAAAGATAGTTATCATGAGTTGTAACAATTCCATTGTGATCGAGCGAAAACGATTCTTTCGTGATCTCAATTGACACGAAATATAGAAATGAAAGTGCTTTAATCGTTGCATTAGTTGCAGCAATTTCTGTTGAAGTTGAGTGTCATTCATCGATAAGGAAGAACGTTAGAGGGGAATATCAGATGGTTCTGTCGATGCTCTATTAGCTTTACTTGGGTAAACTCCAGTTACAATTAGATCCAAACTTTTTAAATTAGGACAATATTGAAGAATAAAAAAACTGATTGTTTCAAGTTTTCATAATTTTAAGGATAAATTTTGCAAATGAGGACTTATATCCGTTCCGGAGATATGATCCACTGTTTGAAAAGATGGGAATTTTGCGGATGAACAGAATAGTGGTGTAAACGCTGTTCCTTCAATGATGTAATCAGCTCGATTGTAAATTATCCATTGTTAGAATTAATTGAAAAAGTTGCTGAAAAAATCTAAATAACTTCTTCGAACATGAATATTACTCATCAAATAATTATAACGAAATATAATCTCATTCTATCGTTTGTTCAACGAGGAAAATGAATAAATCAAATCATTTGACGATAAATAACTACATATTGTCAGAAATGATTTCATTGGAGAGATGTTCAAAACGTGTTGCCTCATAGTCATATTCACAGTTGTTCTACAGAAAAACCGCGTTTCTTCGGTCAGATTTCTTTATCATGAGAAAATAGATGGGCACAGAACACCAAAAAAAAATGAAGTTGCTCATTCTGTTGCATATCAAAGTGAGTGCAACTATAAAACCAGGATGACAGACATTTGGAGCAAAAATTGACCCCAGAGTGAATTTCGCTAAGTTCAAATATTAGATGGCCGGAGGTTCATCGCGACTCGATTTATTAACGGTTAGTAAATGTCGTACTTAATCCAATAAGATTTCTTCGTCTGGAAAAATTTTTTTTCAAAGAATCTTTCAATGGTTCGGTGAAATAGAATAAAGTCGCAATAAGTACTGGATACGGTAGTACGACGAATATATGTGAAATTCGATAATGATACAATGGAATATTTGTAAAAAATGATGTAACTATAAATGTTACATATGGGACACCGAAGATCAAAAGCATTGACACCAATATCACAATTTGCTTCACCATCTTTAATTCCCGTTGTGCACGAGAGAAGACATTCGCAGCTGTTGCAACATTGTTTATCGATTTGGCGTACAATATTAATCGAAAATAGAGAAATATAATGATCACTACAGGCACATTATACGTGCAAGATGATATCCAGATGACACCAAAATTGAAGCTAAATAAGATTTCGCAATTTTGATTGTAAACATTGTAAACAATGTAACCCGCCAATAATGGAATTAAAGGAAATAATAGACAAAATACGAAGGATATACATATAAGAAACAATTGTGTTCGAATCGATTGCCAAAATAAATGAGTCGGATGAACAGCTGTCATGTATCGATGAAATGTTTGTAATGTAAATGAATGTATCATCATAGCACATGATGCAGGAGTAAAGTAACCTCGAAATAGGCACATCGAATTGTAATATTGTAGTTGTTTAAGATCATTTTCTAATCGAAAGATGTACACCCAAGTCATGTTGATACTTGTAAGAAGTTGTGCAAAACATGTATAAGCAATAAACATCATCTGTAAGGTATGACAGGCTTTGTCGAAAATGATAACAATTAGAAAAATACAATCGGAAATTATGGTGAGAATAAGAGCAAACATTGGGATGATATCTAATGGGATAAACCATGATTCGATAACGACTGGAGTTAAAGTATTATTGAGTTCAGTCATTACTAATTCTTCTACCGATATGTTGGCATTGAAATTTTGTCTTTCGAATAAAAAGAGTGGACTTGAATAACTTCATTAATATTTTCACACGAAGATGATTCTCCTTCCTTCGTTAAGAATCTTTTCATCATAGGAAAAGAAAAAGAAAGAAGCTATGTGACGTCAAAACTACTTTACTCGGCAAACCTAATATCTCTGACAAATGTGTTGTCTAATAACTCATCTAGAGGGTGAGAGTGTGTCAATATGTCTTCGCCTGGTATATTCGTTCAAATGAGCTGTGCGCAGGATGACTTAGAGGCACATTAAATGAAGTAATTCGTGTTCAAGGATTTTTAATTTAAATATTTTGATCGGATTGAAAAAGAATTATTTAAATTGCAAAACAAAACAATGATGAAAAGAAAAGTAATGAAATCGAAAGAATTTTTATCGTTAAGGGCAAAAACTTTTCTTATCACCATCATAAATCTAATTTTTATTATTAAGACAAATAGAAAGAGCATTTTATCCCTCGAAAGATTTCAATCGTTCTAAGTTGATTTTGGCGAAAAGAAAAGTTTTACATCAGTTTCCTTATTCTGCGTGCGTTTCTGAAAAAAATATCATTATTTTGTAGATTTTCACTTCGTTTTATCGTTGAATTATTTGAGAATTTGCAAAATGAATCTTTTTGGTGACATTGAATGTTTGACTAAAAGACTTCTGACAATTTATGATTGTCACATTGAGAAGTCAAACTGTTCGGTGTAGCGTTCCGAACGACACTGGAAAGAAAATGAAGTTATTCCCAAATTTGAACGCGTGAATTAAATCGCAGAAGGATATGAAGATGAAGAGAAATTAAATCAGTAACTTTTATATCCTGAGGAAATTTGTGTTGATAAAAATCAAACTGTTTTTATTGCGGATTTCGTAACTGATTGAAGTATTCGATGGAAATAGAATGAAGAGAAAGGAACAATTGTTGTAGAGGCGAATGAAAGAAAAAGACTTTTTTTTCATTCTATTTTCTTTCTTGCTATTTTTCTTATAAATTGATTTAAATCGCTGGTTCGTATACAGTGAATCCGTGAGCTTTTATCACCATTGAAGCAGGTGAAAAACTATGTTCGTTAAATATTAATAGCAAAATCGTATTTAAGAAATTGGATAACAACTGCTTCTCGCCTATAAGATGCACATACAACGAAGCCTGACTTAGTGATCTAATCTGATATTCTCATGAAACTGTTGAGAGAAAAAAGTTACCAGATGGTTTATGGGTTTCATTTTGATTCTTTGAATCTTCGATTGTGGTCATATATTTAAATTTGATTATGAGAGTTATGCAGATGTGCGTCAACTGATGTCAAATAGAACAATACATCTGCTGGAAATATTCATTTTGTTAACGTAAGTAATGAGATTTAGCTTTTCTCAAAACGGAACAAACTACAGATCGTTCATTTTAAAAAAATCCTGTGAAAACGCTTTCACTACGTACATTTGGTTTTTTTTCCTACGAAGAAATGTTACCTACGACGTGTTTCTTCTATCTTATTTTGATTTCCAAGCTATTGGCTGCACCACAAATCAATCTGGATTTTACAATAAATGAAAAAGAATACAATGATGCAAATGGTAGCAGATATAACTGTTTTCGACTTGCTTCGAATATGAATTATGTAAATAACACTCGACACATCTCTACTTATTGTCTGAGTGAATCATCATTGAAATTTCATATTGACAATGATCGCTCATCACAAACGTTTTCCTTCGCTGACCTTGCAAGACTAAATATTACCAGTGAAGATTTATATATCTGGTCCACACCACTCGATATTATTGAACAATATCAAATCTATTTAGAAACAAATGATTTATCTTTGTCGAAACAATTCTTTTATAATTGCACATTACCAAGATTCGGATCGATGTGTCAGTATGAATTCTATTATTATCACGAAAATTATTCATCCTTGTACGAAATGATTCGTGGTTATTATAAAATCAATTCTGTTATTCCAGATAATCTCACTTGTTATATGCATCTAAAATGTCATCGAGGTTATCCACCGATATGTTTAGATTGGACGGAAATTTGTGATGGAAAAGTTGATTGTTTGGATGGCAATGCTGACGAAGAACATTGTTGGCAACTTGAATTTAATGAATGTCAACCGAACGAATATGTATGTGATATTGGACAATGTATACCGAATGAATTTGTTCGAGATGATCAACACGATTTTGATTGTATCGATCGATCAGATGAGAAAGCACCAAATCTTAAGAGCCTATTGCAAATGAACACATACGAACCTACATTTGGGTCTGAAGATTTTCGATGTGAAGGTGAATTTCTATCTCGATCTTGTGTAATTTATCGTCATACTGTAATGTCCGAATTGATGTTTCCAGTCAAAGATAGTTCCATTTCAAGTGAATGCTGGTTAGCTTTTCAATGTTATTTAGCTTTTCCAAATCGAATCCATCCCGGAAAGCAGCACGATCTTAGAAAATGCATATCTACAATAAAAGAGACTTGTCCAGATGTTCTCTACGTTCCAAATATTCCAATCTTTTTTGGACACGTTTATACAGCCTATAGAACCAATCGTACAGAGTTTGTCAACGATTACACTTTACCGTATTTATGTTCAAACAAGCCTTTTCATTTTCAATCGCCCAATATTGTATCAGGTGCGTCGATTAAAAACACAACATGTTTCAAAATTCGTCGCTTCACCGAGGAAATGCCAATTTATTTGTTTGGCTGGTTGTCTCGCTATTATATGCCCTTAACTAACATGTATAGGCAACTTGAAGAAACAAATCCCATAATAAATTTTCCTGTGAATCGATGTAATGAAGCGAACATCTACCAATGTTCGAATTCATCGAAATGTATTTCATTTCATCGTTTAATGAATAGTATCTTCGATTGTCCTTATCACGATGATGAGAATATCTATGAAGATACAAATCCTGAAGTATTTGCTCGGTTAAAACATCGATATTACAAATGTCATTTCACTAATCGTTATGTTCCTTACACAGCAATTGAAAACGGCAAATGTGATTGTGGATACATTGATGATTCCTTTTGCGAAGATGAGAGTGACTATGATACATTGATACAGACGACAATATCTTTTTCGACCACTTGCGATGATGTTCAGGACTTACGCGCAATAGAAATAGATGGGCAAAATCATACAGATGAAACCGAGTGTCAACACTGGGAATGCGACAATATTTATACGCGTTGTGATAGAATTTGGAATTGTTTAGATGGGAGAGATGAAATCGGATGTAATTCATTGTCAACTTTATTTCATTGTTCTTCGGAACATCGAATATGTGTAAGGAACGACACACTGGAATTTACTTGTTTACCGAAAAATAAACTCAATGATGGCGAAGTCGATTGTCTCGGTGGTACTGATGAACCAAAACTTTGCGAGGTTGATGTCAAGTATTCCATGCGAGGAGGATTTTATTGTGTGAATAACGGCACTCCGACTTGTCTCGAAACTGTTGATCTATGCAATCAAAAGAAAGATTGTTCATTTGGAGATGATGAACGATTTTGTTTACAGAATCGATCAGCACTACCGTATGATGGACTTTGTCGTCCTAGTGGCCAGTTGGTTACTTCAAATGTTGAAAGGTTCATATGTTATAGTACAATAAGACGGAAGAAACTCAAACTGAAGCATTTTACAATCAAAGGATTCCATGAAACAGCTACAGAGGAAGAAAATACGAATGAATTATTAAATGAGTATAAACCAATCAGTCTTCTTGACAATCGTCGTTGCCTTCGTGGTCTTGATGTACGCGTTTGGTTAAATCAACCCTTGAATCTTTATACAAGCACGTGTTTTTGTCCACCAAACTACTACGGTGATCAATGTCAATATCAAAATCAACGAGTAAGTTTAGCAATTCGATTTCATGTCTCAACTCAATTAAGACACACTCAACTCGCCGTTTTAATTCTCCTTATTGACGATACTAACCAACGGATTGTTCATTCCTACGAACAATTTACTTATTTATCTATTCGAGATTGTAACATGAAATTTAATCTTTATTTACTTTATTCCACTCGACCTAAACAACTTGACCGAACGTATTCAATTCATATTGATATTTATGAAAAAGTTTCTTTGAAATATCGCGGAAGCTTTTTCTATCCGGTGAATTTCTTCTTCTTGCCAGTTCATCGTTTAGCATTCATCGTAAGCATTCCATTGGAAAATAATGATCAAAGTTGTTCGAATACTGAATGTCTTCATGGAAAATGTGTGACATATTTCAACACGAAGTAAACATTCTGTCAATGTGAACAAGGCTGGTCTGGGCAATATTGTCACATTCCTCACCATTGTACTTGTTCATCGAATTCCATCTGTGTTGGCTTATCGAGTTACAATCGATCGATATGTGTTTGTCGGGAAAAGTATTTTGGTTCTGATTGTTACATTCAGAACCGAATTTGCCATCGATTTCAAAGTGAAAACGATGGTACGTGCATTCCACGTGATGATTTCATGTTACCATCGACGAAACAGAAATATTTTTGTATTTGCCCAAAAGGTTTTAGCGGAAGTCGATGTCAACTTGTTGACACTGAAATAAATCTGATTTTCGACAAAGAGATGCAAATATCTCAGTCGATTTTTATTCACTTCTTACGAATTATTCCATATGGACAATCTGCGGTTATTCCTAAATCATCATCCGAAAGATTGACAACATTACAAACGGTATCTCAAGCAACAAATTCTATCAGAATCTATTGGTCAAAACCATTTCATCTCACTTTCATCGAAACATTGGATAAGACTTATTATTTAACTGTTCTTCAACCGATCTATAATCATTCAATGACAATAATTCGAAGAATTAATTCATCGCATCGTTGCCCATCTATCGGGGAATTAGTGAATGAAACATTTGCTCAACTTCACGTTCTTCGTCGAATGAAATTGTATCATTTGATTTGTCAGCAGNGAATCTATTGGTCAAAACCATTTCATCTCACTTTCATCGAAACATTGGATAAGACTTATTATTTAACTGTTCTTCAACCGATCTATAATCATTCAATGACAATAATTCGAAGAATTAATTCATCGCATCGTTGCCCATCTATCGGGGAATTAGTGAATGAAACATTTGCTCAACTTCACGTTCTTCGTCGAATGAAATTGTATCATTTGATTTGTCAGCAGTATTCTGTTAATTTGCAATGTTTTTACGATGATCTTCATCTTTGTTTATGTTATGATTATGTAGAGAGACGCTTAGCGAATTGCTTTCGATTCGATCATCATATGAAATTTGATTGTTACAGTCAAAATGATTGTGAAAACGGTGGTCAATGTTTTCAAGATTCACCCGATTGTCCCAAGCGATCGATTTGTGTTTGTCGCTCATGTTATTATGGAAATCGATGCCAATTCAGTACAAGTGAATTCGGCTTATCGCTCGATGCTATTCTCGCCTATCATATTATTCCAAATGCAAATATTTTCCATCAAACGGCGATTGTTAAACTAAGTTTCTCGTTGACAATTATGTTTATGATCGTCGGATTCGCTAACGGAGTTCTTTCGTTGATCACATTTAAGAATAAAATTGTGCTTGAAGTCGGATGTGGCATCTATTTATTAGGTTCGTCGATAACGACAATGTTAACAACGCTGTTTTTTGGATTGAAGTATTTCATTTATCTTTCGTCACAAATCTCTCCGCCGACAAATCGATCATTCTTACGAGTGGAATGTTATTCAGTAGATTTTCTTCTTCGAATTTGTTTGAATATGGATCAATGGTTGAATGCGTGTGTGGCAATGGAAAGAGCGATGACTGCGATTCAAGGTGTGCAATTCGTGAAGAAGAAAAGTAAAGAATTGGCGAAAAAAGTTATCGGTGTGGTTTTATTGTTCATTATTTTAACATCGATTCACGATCCAATTCATCGAGAATTATTCGAAGAAGAAGACAATAATGATGAAAATAAGAAAAGAATCTGGTGTATTGTCAATTATTCTTCAAATTTACAAACTTACAACCGATTTGTGAATTCATTCTTGTTTTTTGTTCCACTTCTCATTAATTTGATTTCGACAATTATTTTAATCATGAAAAAATCTCGTCAAAAGTCNTTCATTATTTTAACATCGATTCACGATCCAATTCATCGAGAATTATTCGAAGAAGAAGACAATAATGATGAAAATAAGAAAAGAATCTGGTGTATTGTCAATTATTCTTCAAATTTACAAATCTACAATCGAATTATCAATACCTTTCTATTTTTCGTTCCATTTCTGATAAATTTCATTTCAACAATTATTGTGATAGCTAAAAAGTCTCATCGACAATCTCATCTTCGAAAGCATCGATCTTACAAAGCTATGCTATGCGAACAAATTCTTGATCATCAACATTTATTAGTTGCACCTATTGTTTTATGTGCTCTGGCATTACCACGTTTGATTCTTTCCTACGTAACAAAATGTATGAATTCAACTAAAGATTCTTGGATATATCTGTCGGGATATTTTATTTCATTTCTTCCGCCGATGATTACTTTTCTTATCTTTGTGCTACCGTCGGAATTTTATAGAAGAGAATGCAGAAAATCAATTAGTAGGCGATCGAACAGCATCTATCCATTCTCCCACTAAAACCTTCTTGGTATTCGCCTTTGAACATATGTCGTTTTTTTTTCATTGTTGTCGACGATGAGAATCTGGATGCGAGTAAGGATCGCTCGACAGATAACAGAATATTCTCATCCATCGTAGAATTATGAAAGCCTGAATATGTTGTGACGCATTTGTAATGTTAGTCAGCACAAAGGAGTATTTCTTTACATCAGTCATTTCTTATTTAATAAATTTTCATGTATTGTCTCAACATTGACCACGTTCAAATGTTGTTCATAAGTTTCATGACTTTGATGAACATCAGAAGGGAAAAGATAATATTTGTCTTCTATTTCTCATTCACACAGGAAAGAATATTGCACATATGAATCATGAAAAGAAACTTGTTATGAGCAAATCTAATCTTATGGCGATCAGCAATCATCTCGAAATGTTCGCCATCATGAGAATATCAGGTAGCCATCTGTAGTATTCATCTAATCGGAGAATGAACGAGCTTCTCTTACAGCTCTTTCATACAACCAACCGAAATTTTGTTCAACAGTTGAATGGAATGCGGATGGACATACTTTCGCGTTTGATAAATCAACTGAGGAAAGATACCCGGTTCTATGTATCGATACGAGCAATACAATATACATTGCTTCTGAAGAGAAAGCTGAAATTCTACTTTTCTTTCGGAATCATACTTCGTTCCAGTCAATCAGATATCCATATCAGGCAAAACTATCTTGGATATTCGTGATCATCAATGGTGATATGTACACAAGTTATGAGAAATGGCTAGCGAGTACAAATGAATTCATTCGAGTAATTGATACTAAATCAACTTGTTTTGATCTTTTCATCGATATCGAGAATAATTTATATTGTTCGATGCTTCATACGAATAAAGTTGCAAAAGAAATCATTGGAAGAAATGGAAATGACACTTGTATAGCTGGCACAAACTCTGTTGATTTTGCTCCGCATCAACTGAATGGTCCGATGGGAATTTTTCTTGATACAAATTTGGATTTATATGTGGCAGATCGTTTCAACGGTCGAATTCAATTGTTCCATTGGAACAAAATCAATGGAAAAACAGTGGCAGGCGCAAGCTCATCAGGTACTACTATTTCGCTCTTTCATCCTTATTCAGTGACACTCGATTCGAAGAAATATCTATTTATTGTAGAGCGTGGCAACAATTGTACAGTTGGATCAGAATCAAATGGATTTCGATGTTTACTTGAATGTGATAAGGAAATGAACACAATGCTCTATAAAACATCTAAACCGACAAAAATGAATCTCGATGTGTTTGGAAATTTATTTGTTTCTGATCGGGACAGTTCTCGAATACGAACATTTGATTTACAAACGGATTCTTGTGGTAAGTTCCGTAAAATTCAAGAAAATATTTCAAGAAGAAGAACAAGCTCTATTGTTAATAAAAGAATGTTGGTATAGATTGAAAACAGCACGGATCATGAGTAATTATCATCTTGGTCTATTCTAGTGCATGTTTCGTCCACAACTCAGGCAGGGAATTCTTCGGTTTTAAAAAACGATCATCCATCATTCTCACGTACTTTGTTCTATCCTCCAAACTATTGCTACGCAGCTACAGAAGTAACTGTCAGCAAGATTGATGTTTATGTTCTCGCTGCTAATAGTATCATTGATCACTATAGTCATGTATACAAAGATCATTTTCATCGATATAATACGCCAAAAAAATCTAATTGCATGGATTGGCAAATGTTGTAATAAAGATCAATTTAAATTCACGCTTGAACTGCAAACCAACACGAAATACATACTGGTTGGAACCATGGAAATCAACTAACATGCGCATGTTCATAAAACGATCATCTTTGAAATAGTAGAATATGATTATTATGCAAAACTTATGATAAAGTATCTGACTAACACAATAGTTGATTTTATTTTCTCTAAATAGACGTTGAGTTACCTGTTAAATCAATCTACTCATCTGCATTGACAAAAGATCATCCAACATAGAAGTAGCGCTCGCCGTGCCGACTCACTTAACCCTCGACTGTGGAGAACAGGTATTTTTTTTCGTGTCCACAACGTGGCACAAATTGATCTAACAATTTTTTATACACGAAGAAACAGTTTAAATGTTTTGCGCAAATATATTTAATAACTTTCGAAAACAAAATACTCAATTTGTCCTACTCTTTTTGGAGAGGCATAAAAACCTCAATTTTATATTAGCAATACAATATGCAATAAGAAGAAAGAAACGATGGCGCAATACAATAAGCACTAGGGCCAGTTCAATCGAACAACATCACAACCAGAGACGTGCGGGGCAGGGTTTTTTCGTGCCCCGCGGGCCCCGTCCCGTGGTGCCTGTTAAATCCGCCCCGCCCGACCCCGTAGAGAATATCTTGAAAGTCTTACCCGCCCGCCCCGCCCGTATTGCCCCGAGAATATTTGGTTTAATAATTGAATTGTAGGTTAGTGATGTGTTTTATATATTGTATTTATTCAGCGAAATAGGACATTTATCACAAGACAATATTTAAATTAAGATGTTAAATTAGAAGCAGCAGATCGAACCAAAATCATATCGTTAACCAATGATGGATTGATATTACTTCTTCTCTGCGATATAATAACACCAGCTGAGCTGAATGCGCGTTCAACTGCTGCAGATGAAGCAGGAACACAAAATATTTTCTTTGCTAACTTAGTCAAGTTAGGTAATAAACATTCTTGCTCTTGCCAGAAAACAAGAGGATTATCATCTTTATCATTCGAGCTAATGCATTTATTTAACTTCATTTGTAAATATAATTCAAACTCACGACGAGCGTACATCGAGCTTGTTACGGTTTTCTTCGAATCGGAACAATCTTGGTCATCGTCGTAATTCTCTGTATAAGGCTTGAATTTTTTCTGAGGCGTAGGTGAAGTACTAGTAATTGTTTCTGATTGTGTTGACGTACCACCATTAGCTTGATTTGTCTCGATGATCTTAGTTAATTCTGCCCGAATTAAATCATAAGCATGGCTACGTTCATAATCTGTAGCAAGCTTGAGCATGCGTGTACGGGGATTAAGTACAGCAGCGATCCAATGAAGATCATGCAAATTAAACATTATTTTAAGCAATTGTCGAGTACGTCGTTTGAAAAAAACAATACCTATAAAAATTCAAATAATTGAATGGTTTTTCCTGTATGGCTAATTACCTTTAGCAGTTTTGTTAGCTGCTTCGTCTCTTGTGACAACCAAACTCTCCAGCAGATACCAATAAGATGTAACAACTAGATGAAGAGATGGTTTTCTAGTAGTTTGTACTCGTTCAATAACATTTTTCCATGGTGCAAATAAACTAGTTATAGCAGCTACACTTGGAATATCGATCGAAGGAAGAGTATGAAGAACACCTTTATCACTTGCAATAGTTGTTAATGATGAATATGATGCAAGCACACTTTCGAGTAATTGTGACATTGTCAGTCAGCGAACTATAACTTCTTGTTTGATTGTTGGTTTTGACAGTTCTTGTAATAAAGGATTCCAGTTCACCTAAATTAAGAATGAATTAAGAAGTGAATAGAAATAGTCAGCTGTGATATTCTATAGACATTACTCTCTTAACATAACAGCATAATTGCTTGCATCGACTTATCACTGCAAGTATTTGAGCGGCATAAGGAGGCAAATTTTCTTCGAGTACATTTATATGATCACTTTCAGGTGACGACGATGATGATAAACTTCGAAGAGCTAATTCAATTGATTTTTCATCAAGAACCACTTCATCATCACATTCACTTTCACTAGAATCTCGATCGTCATAATCCATAAGTCCATCGTCGTCACGAGTGGTAAAATCATTCCATGTTGATGGAGTAATACGTTGATCGTTATTCGAGTTTTTTTTTTCTTTTTTTCTTTCCGTTTTGTCTCGAGTGCCTGCACTATAGAATGCTCGCTTGAGCGCATTATTCAATCGATGAGGAAAGCAATGTACGACTTGATAATCTTCCAACGCTTTTACTAAGTTGCTACCACGATCACATACGAAAGTTATTTTGTTCATACAATCATCAAGTCCAAACTTAGAAAGAGCAGAAGTGATGGCCTATTGAAGAAGAAAATAAGAACAATGAAAGGGTAAATCATTATTCTTCCAACCTTGCGAATATTTGGTGCACGTTTGTTTATTTCAGTATAAGGTTCACAACATAATTCGATCGAATGTAAACTATTGCGTTCATCGATAAAATGCCCTGTAATTCCCAGATAATTATTTTGCTTGAATTTATCACTCCATAGATCCGGACTAATTGCTAAAACGCCCTGTTCAGCTGCAGATTTCAATACACCACCTAGAGATGCACGAATATCATCCGCTTGTCTACTGATTTCTCGTGAGATGGACCAGCGTGATGGTACAATATCATTTCCACTAATATTTGATAAAGAACCTGAATAGAATAAAATAGATAATCAAAACGTTATGAAACTAGTTAGTTAGATATATTTCATACCAGTATTCCAAGTTAAACATTTTTGAATGATACTTATAAAACCTTCGTCCTCGACGATGCTGATTGGTCGCATATTTTGACATACCCATGTGCCAATTAATTTGGTTATTGTTTTTTTCTTTGCACTAATTAAAGGACTGTTGTTAGAATACACAGAAGAGGATTTGGAACTAAAAGTACGGATACAATCAGCGAATAAAACTAAGAGATGTATTACTTCAATGATGAAATAGGTGATGATGTAAATGGTAATTCTTTTGGACATTTGTGAGAATTTAACGATTTCGTAGATCCATGTGTATATGTGTAAGTTGTGAAACAGGATCGGCATGATGCGAATTTGTTTATAACACTGTCACGATTATTTTCATCTCTTATTGCCGGAAGACCAAACTTTTTCCAGCATGGAGACGGTTTTGCATGATTGACATTTTTATTGTCCACAAGCACGTATTTTGTTGGTTGATCTTTTAAAAGTTTTTTTATGTTGATGGCATCATACTTCATGGGATTTTATGCATGTTCGGTAGATGTACAAACAGACGAAGATGTTTGACGAACATCTGACGTACCGTCATCTGATTCACTAGACAATAATTCGTGTAGCTCGATCATTGATTGATTTCAGAGATTGATACAAAATCTGAAGAAATATATTTAATTATATGAGATTTCAATTGATCTTGATTGATTATGTTAGTGAAATGATCAGGTTTTACTAATAAAAATCAAACAATGAAAAAAGATAAAGAACAAGCTCCATTCACGGTGATAGGTGCAGGATAATCAACCAATCGATATATCTCTTTGTGAAAAGTGTAAAATAACGATATCTATCGCTTTTTTTCGACGGTCCTCTACTATTACCCGAAAATTTTTTTCACCCGCCCGCCCCGCCTAAGCATCTAAAAAAGTCGACCCGTCGCCACGTGGCCCCGCGGGTGAAAACCCGTGACCCGCACGTCTCTGATCACAACCATACACAACAGTTAACAATATAGAACGTCAAACAGTAATCTTAGTGTGCCCTAAGTCAATCCCACTTTCCAGGCATCCTCATCTACATACTTCTACCCACCAACTTCACTACCACAAGACCACTCGCCATTCCATCCAGGGATAGGCAACTCCCAGAAAAAGCATCTCTAACTCCCGTTTATGAGTCCAACTGGAACAAACACTCAACTACAAAAGAATACTTTTACCATTAATACAAATTTACTACGAATATCAACGAAAATCATCACTTACTCGTAGCAGTTTTATTTATTTGTCTTTGTCAAATTCACATATATTGAATAGGTTTAACTCAATGAATTAGGATCACATTTGACACGTCCGACTCTAGCGAATGCATCTTTTGATATCTGAATTTTTCGCCTACAGTGCATTTAGCTACGGTAATACATGCAATTATTTATTCGTCGTTCTTTTATTACTCCTAATATTAGTTGCAGTTGCATAAAAGTTGGAACACCTAGCCATTCCAAACCTCCCTCAGCTTCATATTCCATTACAAACAAATCGACAAGAACTGAACACCTAACCCACATAAAATCATCCACCAAGGCAACAGATCAGCCGATCATCGATTCCAGTCACCTACGCCCAGACAACCACCCCAAAAAGAGCCAATCAACGGTCACTCACACCCATACATCCACCAATGTGTTCACCCAAGAACCAAACCCACGTTTATACAATCACCCATAGTTCCACCCACACTCTCACCCCTCACCCTCACCCTCGATTGAAACTCTTCTTCTATTGGAATACTTGGTTCAATGTGTATAAAGGGGTGAATTTCATTCAAGAAAGAAGTAAACGTGTTGCGTAGTGGACCAGATTCATTTTACCGATTTGTATCACTGATGCCACAATCATCCATGAGCCCTTACACCGTTACATTTTCAATGAGGGTGTGGGTGGGGTGAAAAATTTCTATGATTGGAACCTACGCTGAGACGAACCCGCTCAAGAAAATGTCGAATTCTGTCCGATGGTATCCTACATATCAGTCCTGTCATTCTGCTTATTCTCGCAACACCCCGCTTTTGAAAGCTGTTATTGATGAATAAAAACGTTTTGAATTAAACAAAGATTTTTTGACAAAAGAAAAAAAACGATGAATATAATAATGAACAATAACATGAGAATGTGCATCGAAGTAAGGATAGTTAACGATAGCGTAACCGAATTCATATATTCACCCTCGCTCTCACGCCATTTCATACGTCATATTTTTCGCATGCACATTGATTAACATTCTCACTCTAACGATCCTCCTTAATAATCTCATCAGTATGTGTGGATTAGCTTTATATTGTTATAATAAAAACAGAAGAAGGAAGAAAAGGAGAAGCATTAAGCAGCTGGCCTCGTAGAAAATAGTGACAGAGTGTTTTTTAGCTAACGAAAGCAATACTTTAAAGCTAAAACAGTTTATATGGAAAATTTTTCCATCCGTTTTTCTCTGATATTCTTTGGTCTATACATCAAACTTTCAAAATAAGGAAAAACACATGACGCCATTTAGATAAATGTGTCCGAATGAACCAACAAGGCCTTCTGGATCTAATATTGCTTCAGTTAAAAATAAAATAATATTTTCTGCCATAAGCACGGTCTCCCTTCTGTCTCTTCCTCTTCGCTTGATTACGTCACCCGTAATATGTTTGGTATGGTTTTCATGGTCACTAAAGGAGACGAGAAACACGTAATCAATGCAATCTATTTCTTAACATATTGCACAAATAAAGTAATAAAATCAAAGCTTTCTCTTACGCCATACATATTTATCCTTCACATTGGTGGCAGAAAATTTCAACCATCATTTTTTGCTTGTTCTCATTTATATGACACAATCATAATGGATCAATTGCGAAACATCTATCGATATTTGTCGAAATTAAATGTATATGAAAACGAAGAAACCAGTAATGAGCATATGAAAAGAAATGAAATTCTCTCAACTAGAATTTATTTTATCATTCTTCTCATCATATTATCATCCTATATTACAAATATGTTATTGTTAAGTCGAATGAATACTTTAACAATTACAAAACCAACACAACAACAATATGAAAAATTAAAATTAAAATATCCAATTAGTTTAAAATGTCTCTGTAAAGAAATATCAATTCCATATAAACAGTTAATTAACATCCAAGTCGAATATTATGAAATTTGTTTATCTGATTTTACCAAACAAAAATGGATTGATTATCTTTTTAATGAAAAACTTAAATATTATCATCCATTTGATTTTCGTCGCGTTGCACCATTCAAATTTCAATTACTTCGAACACTATGTCAACAGTCGAAACGATTCATTGATGATAATCTTGAAGAATTTTATTCAAATCATTTGATTTCAAAGGAACCTATGTCAGTGGATGAATTTCATATTCAAGTGAATTTTTTTATTAAATCATTTCAACAAACAACACGTTATCTATTAGAGAACTTAGTCACACTAATTGAAGACACAATGTGCGTAAACTTTTTATTAACAGCAGTCGATACACACTTTATTTACAAAACCAGGGTAGAATTTGTGTATATGGGCTCTGAAAACATTTGTTATTATAATACCAAAGAGAAGAAAGTAAAACATTCCAGCTGCACTTGTAGAAATAAAGAACATACAAAGCACCCTGAAGATATTTACGGTGCTATAGAATGGTTTGAATATCATTCGTGTCGTGCACTTGAAGATGGCTTATATGACTCAAATAAATATCCCGGTGTTCAAATACCTGGAATGATTGGATGTTGTTTACCAATCGAATCATTGAGATATTCAACATTAGAATGTTTTTATGAGCAATCCTGTTTGGATATTATAGGCCTGTATACCACTCATCCGTCGATTTCAACGAGCGATTTCTCGATATTAAAGCACGATTCATCAGCAAAATCTATAACAATCGAAGAATTAATCAAAAAATCATTTGTAAAACAATGGTTTAATATCACATCATATGAGAAATATTTTAGTTACTGTCAACCTTTGTCTTGTCAATATACAGCTGGACAAGGGAAAAGTCTTTTTTATATATTTACAACAACTATTAGTTTATTTGGCGGATTAAAATTGATTCTTCCAGTTATTGTATTATATGTTGTGGCACATATTCGAGAGGAAGAACAACAACAACGATTGACAGACAATACTGATGCAAGTAAGTTGTTCTATCTGAAAAAAAAACCGAGTGCTTGAATTTGCGAAAGTCAATCTCAAGTTATAATTTCATCAACATTTGTTTCAATAAATTTTCTTTGTCTTTCAGCATCGATAAGAATCCGTTTATCAGCAATATTAAAAATGGTGAAGATTTTCATTTTAAAATTGAATATATTTGATAGTTATTCAACAGATGAATATAAAGAAAAAAATGAAATTTTATCAACAAGAATTTATTTCATTGTATTATTTTTATCTCTAACACTTTTTTGTATTTTTCTTTCATTTGAAAAACAAATCAAAACCATATATTTTTCGAAGCCATCACGGACTCAATTTGACGAATTGCAAAATAATTCCTTAGATCAGCTTCAATGCCCCTGTACACAAATCTCACTTAAATACTCGGAATTTATTCAATTTCGTCCAACTTATCATCAGATATGTTCCAGTATATTTGTTTCACCAAATTGGAATCAATGGGGTGCGAACTGGAAAAAACAGGGTCCTTGTGCTTCTTCTGATTTTATTAATCAAGCACACAATTATTTTTATCTTTTATCAGCGTATTGTCAATTATCACAAGACATTGTATTAAAGGAGTTAGAACATTTTTATGTAATGCAATATACAACATCTGGTGTTATTCAATTCAAACAATTTGACAGTGAAGTTAAATCAGTTATTGAAAACTTCAAAGTAAAAACACAAAAATCGCCGAAAACACAATTAAATATTATTCAAAGTGTTATTTTTAATAATCAATTTCTATCTCATTTAAGAATTGGTATGAGCCATCGAATTCAATGTTGCAATACTACTACTACAGTCAAACATTTACCGATGAATTATGACAATTGTTCATGTGCTACTGATTCAACATGTCATAAAACGAATTTTTTCTGTCGTGAAACCATTTACACATCTATACCAAATATTTATTCCGGTTGTTACTTCATTGATTCATTGTTATTATCACAAACATCATGTTTTTATGATGAAAAATGTTTAGATATAATCAGGAGATATATGGATCCAAATACTATTCTTTATGGACAAATATTTCCATTAGATATTTCGAAAAAAACTCGATATAAAACTAATGTAACTATAGGGATATTACTTGATAATTTATTTATTGAAGAATGGAATGATTTTTATTCATATGATAAATATTATAGTACTTGTCAACCATCATTTTGTTCATACGAAATTCAAGAGCGACGAAATTCGATTTCTATACTAACAGAAATCATTGGTATATATTCAGGATTAACGATTATCATTAGGTTTCTAATACCAAATCTTGTTCGTTTGATTCGAAGAAGAAAAAGACATGTTCAAGTTACTGCAACATTCGGTCGATTAAATTTTCTTTTTCAATTATGTAAAACTAAATTACTTAAGTTGAATTTATTTCGAAATCGATCAACTGATTATCATACAGTACGAAAACAAATCATAAGCACACGTTCATATTTAATTACTTTCATCCTTACTTTATCTCTTTGTATTTTATACACATCATTAACTAACAAATTCATTACTGTTAAATTTCAATTAAAAGATTTAAAACAATATGAACAATTATACAATAAATATCCAAACACGTTAACTTGTTTATGTAATGAAATATCAATAAAATATGAAGAATTTATTCAACTAACACCAATTTATCATGAAATTTGTTCGTCAGATTTTATTCAACAAAAATGGATTGATTATTTATTAGTTGAAGAAAATGTGAATGATCGTAACTTTCAGGCCACAGGATCATTTCAATTTCAAGCTGTAAGATCATTATGTCGATTAATAGAAGAAACAGTGGATTTGAGCTTAACACAACTTTATTCAACAATGTTTGTCAGTAATCAATTGATATCGAGGGATTCATTTCAGAATAGAATCGATAATACTGTGGATTTATTTATAAAATCGACAGAACAAAGATTCAAACACATATTTCAAATTACTCGTGAGATATTTCATGGAAGTGCAGTATTAACAACTCATCAAACAAATTGGGAGTATGATGTTCTATTAAATAAATTGAATCAATACGTATTTTATACAAAAGCAATAACATACAATAACATGTCATGTACATGTGCAACTTCCTTACATTGTGTAGAAGCAGCAAAACTAAATGGTATATCTATTAATGGTTTATTCACTGGTTGTTATCCAGTTGAATCTATGTTACTTTCTTCATTTGAGTGTTTATATAATAAAACATGCGTAGATTTTATTTTATCAAATATCGCACAAAAATTGCCAATGATTGAAGTGAAAGTTTTACAGTTAAGAACTAAATTTGGTATAAATGAAACTGTTCAACATATGGTTGATCGATTATTTGTTAATGAATGGAATCCAAATTACTCGTATCTGAATTATTCGAAAAAGTGTCGTTCAACAGATTGTACTTATTCATTTATACAGAAATTTAATGCATTATATACAATAATATCAATTTTAAATTTATATGGATGTGTAACAATTTTATTAAGTTTTCTAATTCCATCTTTCATTGAGATTATTTTTCGAATATATAATAGAAAAACACAAATGACTATTGTACCAGCGGTACCTGTGCAAAACTGAATTCGATATAAAATTAACATTTATATTTGCTTGCGTGTTCGCGCTTCATTGATTGATTGTAAAATAAAATGAGATTAAAAGAAGAGATTTTTTCTTCAAATGTTATCAGAATCCGATCATGACTACGATGGTATAGTGTCAAGCTCGGAAGTCGAATTCAAGTATTATAGTTGAACAACACCCTCATCCTCGAAAGTCTACGTCTTCTTCTTTTTCTGCAATAAAATCACACTTGAAATCGTTTAATTAGGAGCTGTTAATAAAATTTTAGCATCAATAAACATACGAAGAGAATGAATAGGAAACTTCTGTTTATAGGCGCAGAATCCGTATTTAAAATTCCACCCCAATCTTCTTCAATTGCCTTTTTGACTGCTGTCACACTTTCTAGAGAATTACATTTGTCTATATTGCATTCGTATGTGACTACAACAAAAACGGGAGTCGACTGTGCGGATCGAGTTGTTTGAACAACTTCGTACAAAACT